ATAGTGCAGTCTGGCTCGCCGCTAGACAAGTTAAAACAAGTATCGAACATATTTAATAAACCTAAGCAGTCAAAAAAAAGTTAAAACTGTAACAAATGAATAAAAATAAATTATATTTTAAAATAATGTTTTTGAAAAAAATTCTGTCTCTGTCGAATAGTGAGAGGCGGGCACATAAGAATCGTTCAGCGGGCGCCATGGTTGGGAACCCCTGTTCTTGACCATGCTATATGAAAGGGTGATGTGGTTAACAGTACGCCCAGCCGCCTTTATTTTTCCCGAATTTGAGTCAGGTACCCATCGGAGCTGGGTTGGACTCAGGACGTTTTTACAGACTCGAGTACAAGATCCGAATTCGAGACTTTTGGGTTAGTGGTCGAGCGCCCTACCACCCGACCACGCCGCCAACGTTGCGGCAAATAGCATTGCGTCAATGTTCAGTCGCTCAATGTAAAGTGTGGTTATAATTATGGTGCGTTGGTGTTCAGTATGTTGTGGTGTGTGGTAACGTGTGGTGTTCAGTAAGTTGTGGTGTGTGTGTGGTACTGTATGGTGTAAATAGCGGTTTGTCGTTAAGCGTGGGCTGAAGTAAAGAGTAAAGTGGTTGAATAAATACTGGTGTAAAGGATTGGCGTATGAGGTGTGGTGTGTACATTGTGATGAGTTCTGCCGTAAATGATGATAAGATCGAATGTAAATGGCGACTAAGTGCGGTGTAAATGGTGATGCAGTGTGGTACAAATGGTGATTCGGTGAGGTGTAAATGGTGATGTGTTGATGTATAAATAGTAAAGTGGTGTGTTATAAATGGTGACGCAATGTGGCGTAAATGGTGACGCCGTGCTGTGTAAATGGGGACGCGATGATTAGTGCGGTGACCGTAACACCATTCACCTGACCTTTACATCAGAATTCTACAACAGGCGCACACTACATAAATTACTCACTCTAGACGATCGCAACATAAAACCCAGCGGAGTTTGCACTCCCGTGAAATTGAAAAAAATTTTTTTTGCAGTAATTAAAAAAACACATTCAATCATTCATCGTGAAATTTGTCGATCAGCCAGCGTGTGTAAAAAGCTACAATATTGTTGCACGAAAAATAGGGATCGATACCCACTGTACTAACACCTGCTGTAATCGATAGCGACAAAAGGACAAACAGTAAACTGGTGGTGTTTGAAGCTGGTCAAATAAAAAGGGGACAAGCGATACGTGATTAAAGGCAACATAAAAACGTAACGATTGTCTGTTTTGTGAATGGAATGCTGTAAAAAACAAAGGCAGGCTTTACAGTATATCTAAATAATTAAAAACGCTTTACAGTATATTTAAATAATTAAAAATAACTATTTTACTCTAGATCTCACCGTAAACTACAACATTGAACCTACATCTAACACAAGATGAGTAACCAGGAATCGAAAGGAAAAGTTAAATAAAAAAAAAAAAATCAAAATCGGTAATCCTCAAACAAAAAAAACAAAAAAACAAAAAACAAAAAACAATTCATTTCCTCATTAACATTTATTTAATCTACGTGTGATTAATCCAAAGAGCTCACTGTATCCATTTGTAAAAAAGTAAATACATTCAGATACCTCGCTTAGACAACGTTAAGTTTTTTCAGATTAAAACTATTGATGAGAGCAGAAATAATGGAATATCAAGATTAAAATGTATAACTTTAAGCCTTTAAGCGTACACTGATGAAAGTATATTTTTTCTATATAAATTCCATCTCGTTCTAAGGGAGACCCCCCCCCCCGGAAAAGATGTCTGGAAGACACTCTGGTTAGGGACAGTAAAGGCGGGTGGGCATAGTGCTGACCACACCTTCTCTTCATATGCCGAGTTTAACTCTACTAGGTCTAAAAATGATTCTTTGCTTTAACACTTAGTCTGTACAAGTCACTTATAGTACACACCAATTTAGTAAAACGAAGAGTGCAGTAAAAATAAAAAAAATAAAAAAATAAAAAAACGGAAGTGCCGCATAAAAAGAAAATGGCTGCGTCACACTTAAGTAAAGATTTGTTACATTTTTTTTATTTATTAAATATTTATTTTCCATGAAGTAAATAGTTCCTACCATTATCCCAACAACCTTATTTGAATGGTCAATACTTGACCATAATCGCCACATCTAATCCTTGTCTTAACCCTATTCTGTTTCGACATCCTTGACAACTTGTTTAGCTTGAATCTAATTTTAAAAAATAAACCGGTAGTGATCTCCCCTAAACTTTCTCGAATATTCTTATATAAAACAACAGGGGATGGTAACTGGGGATATAGTTATGATTTTTAATCCATTTTAAATACTTAAACTTTTAAAAATAGAATAGAATCTCATAAAAAAAACATTGCGCACCAAGCAAACGCCGAATAAAAACGCGTATAATAGTGCGCAATATTATTAGTACTTTAAAAATTTACATTAGTTTTTTGAGAAATCGGAAGTAGCGTAAATTACTACTTCCAGTCAACGGAAATTACTCAAAATTTAACAGAAGGTAGAGAATTAGATCTTTTACTTACATGTGAAATTTCATTTATCTATCTGAAATAGTACTCAAGTTATAGGCTTTTAAAAAATTCAAAGTAGGAAAAGTACCACTTCCGGTTATCGGAAATCGCTCAAAAGTTGATACGGATCTACGATTTTGATAAAATACTTATATATGAAATTTCATCAACCTAGCTGTAACGGTACTCAAGTTATCGTGTTTACACACGGACAGACACACACACAGACACACACACACACAGACATACGGACAAGATTGCAAAATTATGTTTTTCCGTATCAGTGAGGTGTAAAACGTCGAGATTTGTAAAAATCTCGATTTTTTTTTGCACGATTACAATACTTTCTCTATACTACGTATATACGAGAAAGTAAAAACAACCCTAAACTTTAACCGTTAGCCTGTTAATTTTTTTTTGTAACAGTAAAGAAGAAAAACCTCAATACCACACTTTACTGTTCCCTCGTGTGGTTTATAAATGCTCTTCCAATTACAGCGACCACTTTTCTCTATTAAATAAAATGTAATTAGTTTAATACTCGCTAATGCATGCGAAATGGTGGAATAAGAAAATGAAAAATAATTAATATAAAAAATGATAATTACTAATGGTTTCTTTCTTGTAAAACTTTTTTTTCTCTCTTAACACATTATAGATTTCCATTTATTTATACTGGTGGCACTATAACCCATTCAAGCTGTTCTCGTAATTTCTTTCAGGCGGGGTGGGGGGGGGGGGAATTACCGCTATTGAGCAATTCAACCCCTTCCCCGGCCAGAATTATAGAGAATATATATATATATATATATATATATATATATATATATATATATATATATATATATATATATATATATATATATATATATATATATATAACTTATATAGAATATAATAGGTGAAGTAGAGTTAATATGTTTCTTTATCTCGGCATACGGAGGAATGGTGTGGTCAGCACTATGGTCAACCGTCTTTACTTTCCCTAAACATAAGTCAGGTACACATCAGAGCTGAGTAGACTCAGGGACTTCTCTTACAGTCCTGAGCAACGCTCCCTGTAAGGGGAAAAAGCCAGTGTGCAACTTTTATTTTGTGTGCTGGGTCTTCTAAAAGTCTTATACAAGGATGTATGTATTTAACAAAACAACTGCGCGGCAGGTTCAAAACTACTGCGCCGCCGCGCAACCGCGCAGCTTAGAGGGAACATAGGTCCTCAGTCCGGACTGAGATCCGAACTGGAGATCTTCGGGCTAGACCTAACGCTCTACCATTTGACCACCCCGTTGCACTGCCAGTATTGCAGGGGCTTGGTATATTTATTTTATTTGTAACTTAATGCTATTTTCGTAAATGATAAATACCCTGTACACGGATACAATTCATATCTGTGAAGTGGTATCCCACGCAACATATATTGTAAGAGAACTATTACTCATCAAACGGAATCGAGTAATTATAGGGTATCTACAACACAGGATATCACACTTCACTTATCAGAATAATATACAATATTCCTAAACGCCGAGGCCCCTTCACAATGTTGCCCCGAGTTTCCATCAAAGCTAAATCCGCTCCTGATTGCAAAGTGTCGCGGCTTAATCCGCTCCTGATTGTACATTGCAGTGGCTTAATCCGCCCATGATTGCGAAGTACAGCGGCTTAATCCGCTCCTGATGGTACAGTGCCACGGCATGTATTAAGCCGAAATTACGCCCACCACCATTCTGCGCACCGCCACTCATGTGATTTACAGTTAGATAAAAACTACACACAGCTGTTACTTATTAACAATTAAGCCGTTGATTTTGTTTTTTACTTTGTATTACACAATAAAACATGCTGGGGATTAAAAAGTTAAATATAGATCAGGTAGCAGTCAAGAGACGTCTTTATTTACCTCGCTTTAGCTTTACATTCGGATTTAAAACACTGTATCAAATACACGAGCTGGCCATCATTATAGTTTAATGGTCAGTTTTGTTTGACTAGAACTGCATTCTAGCTGGTCCGCCTGTCTGTGCCAGTGGCCCCCCAAGAAAAAATTCTCGGTGGGCCCCCAGGAAAAAATTCTCGGTGCCCCCCCCCCCCCCCCAAAGAACGGTCTTATAATAGTCCTATTCGAGTTTTGATTTAAAAAATAAAATTGTTGGTACTTTACCATTGCTTTATGTCAAGGTGTTTAATCAGGTCGTGATGGGAAAGTTTCAATCTGGAGTTGGGGGCCCCTTTTAAAACTTCCCGGGCCTCTGGGACACAGCTAGCCCCCCCCCCCCCCTCTGCATTTCTATAACTCCCCATATCCTCCACTATAAATTTGTTCAGACCCCCACACTAACGCTTTAAACAGAGACAACGCTCGTAGAACATTTTATTGGAGATTATTTCTCACTCTTTGACTATTTCCATCAATTTTTGTTTCTTGTCTTATATTCTATACAGTTAAAACAACTGTTCATCTATTGCAGATTCGACATTTTTCAACAATGCCCCTTGTCGCCTGATGGCAAAATCCAGCCTTCTGATGGCGGGAATATGGCGGTCCCTGCAGACGGCGTGCCCCATGTGCACCAAAAAGTTCAGCCTCGCTCTGTTCGTCAGCTTCATCTTGCTCGTCTGCTTCGTGCCTTTCATCCGGAACAGAATATTCCAACCCGTTTGGCCAAAAGCTTGGCGGGAGATCAGCACTTTGGACGTCATTGCTATCAAGCTGTTTACCAAATCTACGCTAGATTTAAAAGGCCGCGATTGCAGCCGGGGACTCACATCAGCGCCGGATCTCCCAAATATAAAAAAATACGGCGTGAAATTTTACGCGGACGCCAAAGAAGCCAAGCTGAGAGACGAGATCCATCAGCGATTTCTTCCCATCGTCAACGAGGAAGAAAAAACCCGCCTCCTGCAGATTTATCTCATCGTGACTGACGCCTTAAAAAAGAACAACGTCGAGTTCTTCCTGGTGGAAGGCTCCCTCCTAGGGGCGTACAGACACCGGGGCATGGTCCCATGGGACGACGACATCGACATCGCCGTGAACGTCAACCTCTGGGAGACGGTCATGGACGCCCTGGGATGCTTCGACGGGTACATCCTCCTCGCGTCCTCCACCATGCACTGGAAGTTCTACCCCAACTCCACCAAACCGAGGCTGGGGTACCCTTTCATCGACATCTTCTTCTACACAGAAAACGACCTTTACGTTTGGGCGGTGACGCATTATCTGACCGCCACGGTGATTTTCGCCAAGGAAGACGTGTTTCCCCTGACCACGGCGGAGTTTGAAGGGTTGACTGTCCCCGTTCCTAAAAACATGGCCAAAGCGACCAAATCTGTGTTTAACACGGATTTTTGTCAGTCCCCCAGCTCGAACCACAAAGATGCCATAACCTACTCGTCATCTCAAATGTCAACAATTAGATGCACCCATTTGTTATATTTATACCACATGTATCATGTACACTGATATACATTGTTTATTTTGCTAAGTAAAATTATTATTATTTTAAAAATTCAAGTCGTCAGTATTATTTTTTGAGTACCTTGACTTTCTACAGGGCAGATGAAGTAGAGTTTAATCGGCTTTTTGTGGTCACGGAATACACGGACAATAAGTGGACAAAGTACTTTCGACCTTTGACCTCAAAGTAAGCAATGATATATTGAAGATACCTGGACTCATCCATGTTACAACATCTCAACGAGGGCTGAACTCGTGACATTTTAACTAGCTATAGCGCGCTCAATACCCAGTTATTAAAGTTCTATAATTGCTATAAGGTCCCATTACCAGAATATTTTCCTATAAGGTCACATTACCAGAACGTTTTCCTATAAGGTTCAATTACCAGAATATGTTTCCAAAAAGGTCCCATTACCAGAATGTTTTCTTATAAGGTCCCATTACCAGAATATGTTTTCCTATAAGGTCCCATTACCAGAATGTTTTCTTATAAGGTCCCATTACCAGAATGTTTTCTTATAAGGTCCCATTACCAGAATATGTTTTCCTATAAGGTCCCATTACCAGAATATGTTTTCCTATAAGGTCCCATTACCAGAATATTTTCATATAAGGTCCCATTACCAGAATGTTTTCATATAAGGTCCCATTACCAGAATGTTTTCATATAAGGTCCCATTACCAGAATATGTTTCCAAAAAGGTCCCATTACCAGAATATGTTTTCCTATAAGGCCCCATTATCAGAATGTTTTCCAATAAGGTCCCATCACCAGAACGTTTTCCTATAAGGTCCCATTATCAGAATGTTTTCCTATAAGGTCCCATTACCAGAATATGTTTTTCTATAAGGTCCCATTACCAGAATATGTTTTCCTATAAGGTCCCATTACCAGAACGTTTTCCTATAAGGTCACATTACCATATAACTTACTCATCCAATAATATAGAAAGGAGACAAGTATGTGACATATAGGTCGAAAATCTGAACACATACGGTCAAGTATTTGAACATATAGGGTCAAGTATCTGAACCTTCAGTGTGCAACCTATGATTATAGAATAGGGTAAAAAAAAATTCATAAAAAACGTTTTAATAACAAGCTTTTATGTAATGATGCAATAAAAAGTAGAAAATAAATTATAGATTTGTACTTTAGAGTGATTCGATTGAATGATATGTATGCTAACGTCATATCATATTTAGTTTTTACGTCATTATTTTGGTGAACTTTAAATGTAGACATTTTAAACGGTGTGTCATTTGACACGACGTACGATAACGTTGTTGATTTTTAAAACTTGAAGTTTATAATCTTAAGCAAATTTACCACCACCTTACCACCACCTTACCACCACCTTACCACCTTACCACCACCTAAGGTGATCAAAAATTAAGATGACAATGTAAGATATAGAAAAAGAAAATACATTGAGTGGTAAAAATAAAAAAATGTCATTAGACGTAATGTATTATGTATAAGTAAACTTTCTTAAAAATTAAAGAAGTTCAAGTCAAAAAGAAGATTGATGAAAACTGTAATACTAAAGCGAACATGGGAAGGTAATCTGCTGCAAGACTAAGATATATATTCGTCTTCCTTCTAGGTTCATTGCCTTTTTTGGTTGAGGTTAAACATCGCCATGTTTTCAAATATCGCGATGTACGTCACTTCTCTCCCCTCTTACTTAGTAATCGCTTCGTCTACCTATTGTTTACAACACGCTTACAAAGAAAAAATATCCCACCCCTCTACTTGAGACATAAAATAAAAAAGTATATTGTGCCTTGTCGTCACAGGAAACAAAAACGGTGGCGTCTAATGTTGTTAACCCTTGTCTTCCTAAATTATTTTTTAACTTGTTAAAGAAATTGAATGTTTAGTTAATGATTCTGACGCGAATTTTTTCACAAGGGACGATACTCGTGGCTGTAAACAAGGCTGTTCTAATTTTAGAACAGTTGTCTTTCCTCTCGTTTCTCTATTAGGGAAGCCGTAAGGGGAAGACACGCGACACGTCTTTTAAAATGTAAACAAGCGTGCACGGGGTACACTTAAAATAAACCCCGCTGCGAAAATGATAATGGCATGGTGACACTTTTTGGAAAACACGCTTTCATGTAAATAAAATAAGAGTCGCTTTTGTTGTCGCCATGATAATGTATACCTATAAGTTCTCTCCGCCATTACCGACCTAGTATGAATTTCGCGCGCGCGCGCATGTGTGTGTGTGTGTGTGTGTGTGTGTGTTTGTGTGTGTGTGTGTGTGTGTGTATGTATATCTCAAAAAAGCGTATCATGTCAACACCTGGGCAACAAGTCATAGTCAAAAAAAGGCCTAATTCATTACAGATCTATAGGAAATCCCTCTTTACATGTACTTACGTTAGGGGGAGTAAACTCATTTGAATAAAAAAAAAAAAAAACGTATTTAAATATATAGAGTTATAGAACCTTAACCCCGCATACCTACGTACCAACGCACCAAGTCGCCCTGTCGCCCATTAAAAAACACGAACCTACCGAGACTTCGTTTCGTCTCAAAACCTGACTTAACGGTGGTTGAAAGAAAATTCCGACCCTTAAATATATTTTTGTTTTCGCTGACCCTCGCTATAAGCGCATAGTTACAACCATTAATCTTTCATACATAGCAAGGGACGGTTCGCAGGACATGTGGAAACAAAATTTTTTAATTTGATCAAAGAATGACCGGGCGTACGATATGTGAACATAGTTCATGTACAGCTGTAGTCTAATGAAAAAAGCCGAGAGCCGTGGCTAATTACAGCACCAGCTGTCGCCACACTTAACGCTGGCTTCGCGTTAATTACTATACCTCCCGGTGGGATCGCTTCGCGAACCCACATAAATCAATGACGGGTGTCAAAAAAAAAAAAAAAAAATTTAATTAGGTGGGCTATCAAGTTGATGATGGTCCAGTGGGTGTGACCAAAATTAACTCGGACAGTGTACGGTCCCTCACAAAAAGAAAAACTTTGCTGGTGAATCGATACGTGCCGGGTGCATTAGCGAGTAACAGGTGTTGTTAATGTATGTTATTCACAAAGTACACGCTAACGCACCCCTACCCTCAAACCCCATCATTACTCCCCCTCTCATCCACCAACACCCCTATCCGTTTACTATTAAACATACATACAAGTAAATAAACAAACCAACAAATTAAACAAATAAACAACATTCAAAGTAATTAAAATCAATTTTAACAAGTTAAAAATTAAAAAAAATAATCATTTAAAAATTAAAATCCAATTACGTAACTCGTTAATAAAAATGACACAATATAAACAAAGTAATCAAATTAAATAACAAGTAAACAAACAAAATAAACAAACAAAATACAAAGTAATTAAAATCAATTAAAATTTAAAATTAAAATTTAAAAATTTAAAAAATTAAAATCCAATTACGTAACTCGTTAATAAAAATTACACAATATAAACAAAGTAATTAAATTAAACAACAAGTAAACAAACAAATTAAACAAAATAAAAATACAATCAAAGTAATTAAATTACGTAACTCGATAATAAAAAATTAATTAAAAATTTAAAAACTCATTAAAACTAATTAAAAAATACATTAAAATTACGTAACTAGGTCAAAAATTAATTAAAATTTTAAAAACTCATTAAAACTAATTTAAAAACGCATTAAAATTACGTAACTAGGTCAAAAATTAATTAAAATTTTAAAAACTCATTAAAACTAATTAAAAAAAATTCGTTAAAATTACGTAACTAGGTCAATGATTACGTAACTAGGTCAATGATTATGTAACTAGGTCAATGATTACGTCATAATGTTACTAATTACGTCACAAGGTCGCCGGTGGTGACCTACTGACCTACTCCGCATCCGCATCCCCCACCCTAGGGTGGGTGAGTATTTTGCTATATCTCATTGTCCCAGGCTGCTCACCCACCCTCACCCACCTTCACCCAGGTGGGTGAGTATTTTACTATATCTCATTGTACATCCTGCTCACCCACCCTCACCCAGTTGGATGAGTATTTTACTATATGTCGGTGTACCCCCGCATCACCCAGGGAGTATTTTACTATATGTCTTTGCGGCAGGCTCACCCTCCGCATCACCCACTCCACCCAGGAGGGTGAGTATTTTGCTATATGTCATTGTACCAGGCTGGGGGAGTATTTTCCTATATAGCCTTTGTTCCGCATCCGCATCCGCATCCGCATCCTGCTCACCCATACGCTCCAAAAGTGACCTAATATACTACTTATATATATGTGTGTATTATATATATATATATATATATATATATATATATATATACTTTCAAAATAAAATAAACATATATATATATATATATATATATATATATATATATATATATATATATATATATACATATATATATATATATATATATATATACTTTCAAAATAAAATAAACATATATATATATATATATATATATATATATATATATATATATATATATATATATATATATATATATATATATATATATACATATATATATATATATATATATATATATATATATATATATATTAATATTAATATAAAGTGTTATATATATATACATATACATATATACATATATATATGTATGTGTGTGTGTGTCCGTGCATATGAATGCGCGAACAGCAAGGGGTAAATCATCAACTAAGTTCTTACCAATTTGAATGTCACGACATTTTAGTGCGTACACTGTGGTACTGCACGGCAAAGATAAAAAGCAGTAGTGTTTAGAGGTGGTGGGGGGGGGGGGGGGGTTAGTGGGTGGGTTGTGTGTGTGTGTGTGTGGAAATAAATAGTATGAAAATGCCACATTGCACCAGCGGACACAAGCACGTTTTGTATTAGGTAAACAAATCAGAGCTGAACCTACGTAAATGATTAATTAGGGTCAAACATTAGGTTTTTGGTGGATTTTTCGTGTTTTTTAAAGGATTATTATTCTTTTAATTGCGTGCTGAAAAGCGAATACAATGTTAGTTTGACTAAGCCAGAGGTGCGGTTAATGATTTGGTATTGCACTTTTCTTCAGTAAACAAGTTGTACAAGTTTGTATTGCACTACACAAAGTATTTTATCAACGAATCGTTACGTCTTTTAGATAGCAGAACCAGTGCGTTATAATATTTTAAAGCGACTTTATTTAGAGCAGAACGAACTAATCCAATATACGATAAGTTCAAATAATAGTACACAACTTTTGTAGATGCGCGCACTATAACAATTTGAATATGGATAAACAAAAATTATTTTTTTTAAATATGATGGTATTAATACACATCGTAAGATCAATATAAATTTGAATATTAACAACAGTTTCTTGTCGTGTGTGCGTGTGAGAAGCCACGGGTCATGCGGACAAAGTACCGCTGGAACAACTACACACGACACGCGAACCCCTCTGGTCTTCCGTATCGATTTTCAGAACGGATACTGGTCCGGTCGTTCGGAGCCATAAACCGCATGACAGATGAGCATTCCTTGTGTGTTATCGTCTGCGGGGGGATGGAAAGGTCGCCAGACGTGTGATGTGTTGTGTTTTTTTTTTGTCTTCATTCCGGTACGTCACTTAAGTGCAGAGTGCACTTTAACGTCGTTGGGAATATAAAAACATAGAAAGTGTAAAATACGAGATAGTGTGTGCGTAAACTACACGCTGGGTGAATCAATAATCTGATGGAGATTTTCTTTGCTTTAAGGAGTATAGTGCTTTCTGTGGACATCTTCAGGCAAGATCATTTTTTTAAAATAGAATTTTAAATACAATATTTCATAATTTAAAAATTGTGGTTTAACTTTTGTAAAATAGTCTTTTTTTGTGGTTGGTTAAACTCCGATGCTGAAAGAAAGATTAAAATTTTTCCTGGCTAAAGGAAAGGCCAGACCAGTTACCATGAGAAAAATAACCTTCAAATGTGTTCCGAATATTTTTTGTTCCTGTTCTCGAATGGTGTACATAGTCTGCTTGTTTCTGGTCATACTAATGATCATGTTCACCCCGCTCCTGCGAAATCTTGTTCTACAACCGGTCTGGCCGTATGCTTGGAGAGAACTGAGCACTTTCGATGTGATTGAGCTTCGATTTTTCACCGCGAACGAGATGGGGGTTGAACCTGTGACCTCTTGCCTGATGAAAACACAACCCACAATTCAACTCTCGGAGATGGATACAAGAAACGTTAAAAGTTACAACGATGTCAAAGCGTCCAATTTGCGAAGTTCTGACCATTTCCGGTTTCTACCTGCTTTAAGCTTCAAGGATAAGTTGAGAATGCTTCATACGTATTTAGTGTTAGCAGAGGCACTGAGGAATATGAGAGTGGAATTCTTTTTTGTTCAGGGTTCTCTTTTAGGTGTGCATCGTCACCAAGGGGTCATCCCCTGGGACGACGACCTTGACATCACCGTCAACGTCACGGACTGGAAACTCGTCCGTCACGCTCTGTCGTGCATCGATGGTTACATCCTCTCCGTGACGACCTACATGCACTGGAAGTTCTACCCCAACTCCACCGACCCTCGGCTCGGATTTCCTTTCGTGGACATCTTCTTCTACACAGAGAACGAGAACTTCATCTGGGCCGTCTCGAGCTCCACCTCTCTCTACCTGGTCTTCGCCAAAGCCGACACGTTCCCTCTGACCACGGGTCAGTTTGAAGGCTTGTCCGTCCCGATTCCCAAACACACGGATAAAATCCTCAAAAACCGATTGGATCACGGGATATGTCAGTCAAGTGCAATGAACCATAAAACAGACTTTGTGCTGCCTTGGTCGTCGGTTTTAGATGTTGAGTGCTCCTCTTTAACTTATTTATACACCATGTACAACTTGGATTAGAACTCGCATCTCCCATCGATTGTTTATTTTTGTTTAAAACCTCCGAGTAAAAATGAACGCCATCTTCCAGAGGAGATACCTTCACGATGAAGATATGTCTGTTGTGTTGTTGAAGAAGTAACTCTATAAGTTGATAGCTGCTTGATATTATTACTTTTAGTGAAAGGAAAGTATCATCCCGCGCATAGCATAATTGTTACTATACAGTATGTTGATGTGGACGTGTGGAACAGTAGCGTCGCTAGGTCGGGTGTCACCCGGTGCGCCACCTCATGGTGTCATCCCCCCCCCTCCCCTTTTTTTCCTCTGTAAATTTTACAGCTGGTGTAAAAGCTTTAAAGCGTTCACATTTAATACTAACGATGTTTATAGTCTGTTGTTAATTAATACAGCCGGGTGTAGCATTGTTTGCATGTTTACGTTATAGTGCCCCCCCCCCTTTCCATTATTGCGATCATCATTATGTACTTAAAATATTTTAAAAACTCTAATTAACCATTCATTGAACTGGGAAAACATTTATTCTGTATCCTGCAATGTTTTTGTCTTGGTGTCACACCCCAAAATGGTGACATCCGATGCGGACCGCACCCCCCCCCAGCCCCGCCCCTGGTGTGGAAACATACTTTTCCGCTACAATAGAAAAAGCGGGCATATTAAAAACAAACAACATTATATTTGTTCTTAATTTAAAAGAAAAATAGGGACGACGTGGTCGGATAGGTGAGCATACTACTACTAAACCGAGAGTCCCGAGTTCAAATGCCGGGTTCCAAGTCCGTAGAAGGTCCCTAAGTCCACAAAGCTCTATAGGGTACCTGGTTCAACTTATGTCCGCTGGGCATAGTGCTGACCACACTATCCATTCTTATAGGGCTGGTAAGTAGGTCACCAACCAGCTATACGGCTCAATAAAACTTGCATGAGCCATAGAACTGGTTGGTGACCTGGTTACCAGACCTATACCGAGGTCATTAAAACGGGTGTACCACTTAAAAATATATTTTTTAAATATTAAAAAAAGTGCACAAAATAAATATATTTACTAAGGAAATTTAATACAGGGGTAATAGTGTTGTACTGAGCTTTTCAATATAATTCAAATTTGACTGCGTAATATTTAAAAATCTGGCTTACTTGAAACATTTTTCACGTTTTAAAAACAGAAAAAAAAACAAAACTAGAAAGATAAAATTTTCCAGTCGGTTACCTAATGCAGTAAGAGGCCTATTAAGTTTAAATTAATTTTATTAATGAGTTCTTGGGAATGTAAAACAAAATGATTTAATACAAAAAAAAAGTTTTAAAAATTTAGAATAGGAAAGCGCCAAATGTAATTCTCCAGTTCGAATCGGGTTCCAAGTCAGTCCACCCAGCTCTGATGAGTACCTAACACATGTTGGGGAAAGTAAAGGCGGCTTGGCAAAGTGCTGACCACACATTCCTTTCAAGTGCTGATCATACATTCGCTTCATATATGCCGAGGTCAAGAAACACGAACTCTACTTCATCTGCTCAATGGATCACTAGGTCTAAAGAGTATTCTTCACTTTTTAAATACTAAAAATGAAATGCTTAGTCTAGTTGGAGTATTGTAAAGTACATATTTATGTAACTAAATGCTAAATAAGCTTATAGCAAACAAGTTCAACTACACACAGACACAAATGACACGGCGAGTTTTTACATAGCACACCCCACTCCTTAAATCTGTATCCGTGTTGATGTATAACAATTATTGTGAAACCATTTTGGACTTTTAACGTGTGAATAACTGAGTTACTTATACAAGGTTTGTGTACGCATGTTATACTGTAGTGTACGGGCGTACTTGATGAACAGCACGAAGACGCATGCGCATTTACAGACATGTATAAACACATACAAACTTTCAGGATATAAATGCCATTGTTTATTAATTGTATCACGTGATGTTGCGCTGAGTTAGAAATAAAGTGTTAAAAAACGAGTGAGATATATATTTTTTTTCATTTTAAACATTTTAATTTTTTTACGTAATTAATAATAATTGCATTATAATGTTTAGTTTCTAATTTAAAGATAACACCTTAGATTATATAGGCTACTGAAGGGTCTTTTAAAATATTAAACAGGTAAAAAGAAATTGGGATTGTTTCGTCTATGGAATTCTGTTATGTTTTAATACAGGAATAAATCGCAACGAAGACGAGGCATAGTGGCACCACTGTCGAATCAGGCAGTGGTGGTGGTGTGTGTAAGGGGGGGGGGGGGTAAATAATAGTTTTGAAAAATATATTAGTAATTATTCGGTCTATGAAAGTATATTACATTTTGAAGAAGCTTGCAAAAGGATTCACGAAATACTGAATGTTACTATTAATAAATGAATAACAAGCTTGTTTTTGAAATAACTGTACTCAAACACACGTACATACACACACATAATTATATATATATATATATATATATATATATATATATATACATATATATATATATATATACACATATATACATATATATATATATATACACATATATAGCCTATATGTATATATATGTGTATATATATACACATGTATATGTATATGCATTGCGTATGTACATGCTAAGGTGTATGTGCATGATTATTTTTTTTTTATGCCCATGCTTATGTTTCATGTTAATGTTCATGTTTTTTTTAATGTTTGTTTATGTGTAAGTATATGTGCATGTTTATGTGTATGTATAGGCCAACATATATGTAGGCCCATATATATATATATATATATATATATATATATATATATATATATATATATATATATATATATATATATATATACAAAAATATACAAACTCATAGATATATCCTATTCTTGTGTTTATACATATATATTACTCATTTGTGGACACTAATAAAAAATGACGGGTGGGGGACGGGTGGGGGAGGGAAGCTGACGGTGAAGAGATCTCAAAAAGTTCTACGAATGATTAAAGAGACGTTTCACTTACAAACATTTAGTGGAAGCAGCAATCAAATAATTCAAACGAGACGAGAATAAATTAAAAATGAGTTAGTATTTAAATAAACATTAGGGCAAAATCGGATTTTTTCAGGATAAATAAAAGTTGAACCCTCAGTAATTATAGAATTCGTGATGTTAATACTATTTTTAAAGGGGAAAAACAAACATTTCTTGTGTATAAAAACAAGGCGTTCACATTCAGCAAAAAAAATGAAAAAATTAAAAAAAATAATAAAATAAGCGAATACTTTTCGAGTTTTCCATTCCATTAGAATATACTTTAAAAAGGAACTATCAGTACTCTGAATTTAATATTTTCTTAAGATGGCCGCTGTTTTTAATAGCGATTAATCTAGCTCAACCTTCGTTGTAATACTTAACACATTTATTTGAGGACATCCTTAAAACTTAAGTTTTTAAAAGTTAGGCAGTCAGTGCTGATTATCTAGAAATAGAAATGTAATATGAAATGTAATATTTATCAGAAAATATTGGCTAAAGCCATAGGCCCTATTCATCTATTTGTCCATAGTGTACTGAATATGAAATAAGCCATTGTTTGTCTACAATCAAGGGTCATTTTGACCCACTTTTGATCGCTAGAGATGTACAGTGTGGCAAGTAGTTAAGCTTAGCCTAGCCCTGACACAATTCTGTGCGTTGTGTTCTTCCTCGCGTGCTCTACTCACCTCGCACAAAGATTACATCGCCGTCTGTCGGGAAAATAAAAACAGGGATCGACTGAACACAGTGATTAGCAGGACGCGGGGTGGAATACTGTTCTCGTGGATATTTTGTGAAAATTTATTGTTTACTGTTTTATATTCAATCGATTATTTTCAATTGTTTTAAAGACGTATTTTAAAATAATAATATGTTTTTAATATGTGGTTATTAACTTATTAATAATTTTTTTAGTTGATTTAACTTCGATGCTGAAAGAAAAACAAAAAGTGCTACTGGCAAAAAGGAAAGGCCCACACATTACCATGAGAAAAATAACATTCACATGTGTTCAGAATAATTTTTTTTCCTGTTCTCGGATAGTATACGTCGTCTGCTTGTTTCTGGTGTTGCTATTGATTGCATTCACCCCACTTCTGAGGAATACTGTACTACGACCAGTCTGGCCTGACGCTTGGAGAGAATTGAGCACTTTCGATGTCATCGAGCTTCGATTTTTCACCGCGAACGAGATGGGAGTTGAACCTGTGACCTCTTGCCCGATGAAAACACAACCCGCGGTTCAACTGTCGGAGATGGATACAAGAAACGTTAAAAGTTACAACGATGTCAAAGCGTCCAACTTGCGAAGTTCTGACCATTTCCGGTTTCTTCCTGCTTTGAGCTTCAAGGATAAGTTGAGAATGCTTCATACGTATCTAGTGTTAGCAGAGGCACTGCGGAATATGAGAGTGGAATTCTTTTTCGTGGATGGCTCATTGCTGGGTGTGCATCGTCATCAAGGCATCATTCCCTGGGATGACGACCTTGACATCTCCGTCAACGTCACGGACTGGAAACTCGTCCGTCACGCTCTGTCATGCATCGATGGTTACATCCTCTCCGTGACGACCTACATGCACTGGAAGTTCTACCCCAACTCCACCGACCCTCGGCTCGGATTTCCTTTCGTGGACATCTTCTTCTACACAGAGAACGAGAACTTCATCTGGGCCGTCTCGAGTTCCACCTCTCTCTACCTGGTCTTCGCCAAAGCCGACACGTTCCCTCTGACCACGGGTCAGTTTGAAGGCTTGTCCGTCCCGATTCCCAAAAACACGGATAAAATCCTAAAAAACCGATTGGATCATGGGATATGTCAGTCAAGTGCAATGAACCATAAAACAGACTTTGTGCTGCCTTGGTCGTCGGTTTTAGATGTTCAGTGCTCATCTTTAAGTTATTTATACACTATGTACAACTTGGATTAGAACTCGCATCTTCCATCGATTGTTTATTTTTGTTTAAAACCTCCGAGTAAAAATGAACGTTATCTTCCCAATGAGATACCTTCACGATGAAGATATGTCTGTTGTGTTGTTGAAGAAGTAACTCTATAAGTTGATAGCTGCTTGATATTATTACTTTTAGTGAAAGAAAAGTAACATCCCGCGCATAGCATAATAGTAACTATACAGTATGTTGATGTGGACGTGTGAAACAGTGGCCGCTACGTCGGGTGTCACCAGGTGCGCCACCTCATGGTGTCACCCCCTTTTTTTTCATCTGTAAATTTTACAGTTGGTGTCACCCCCCCCCCCCCAGTAAAAGCTTTAAAGTGTTCACATTTAATACTAACGATGTTTATAGTCGGTTGCTAATTAATACAGCTGGGTGTAGCATTGTTTGCATGTTTACATTATGGTGTCCCGTCCCCCTTCCCGACCCCCCCCCCCCATTATCGCGATCGTCATTATGTACTTAACCGCACCCCACGCACCCGCCTCGCGACGCCCCTGGTGTGGAAACATACTTTTCCGCTACAATAGAAACAGCTGGCATATTTAAAACAAACAACTTTAACTGTGTTCTTAATATTAAAAAAATAGGGACGGTGTGGTCGGATAGTTGAGCATACAACTACTAAACCGAGAGTCCCGAGTTCAAATCCCGGGTTCCAAGTCCGTAGGAGGTCCCTAAGTCCACAAAGCTCTATAGGGAAAGTAGAGTCCGCTGGGCACAGCACAGTACTGACCACACTATTCAGGTCCATTCTTATACCGAGGTCATTAAAACAGGTGTACCACTTAAATATATTTTTTTAAATATTAAAAAAAAATAAGTGCACAAAATAAATGTATTTACTAAATAAATTTAAAGACAGGGGTAATAATCAGGGTATTACTGAGCTTTCAATATAATTCAATTTTGATTGCAGAATATTTAAAAATCGGGCTTACTTGAACATTTTTCACGTTTTAAAAACAGAAAAAAAAAAAAAAAACTAGAAAGATAAAATTTTCCAGTCGGTTACCTAATGCAGTAAGAGGCCTATTAAGTTTAAATTAATTTTATTAATGAGTTCTTGGGAATGTAAAACAAAATGATTTAATACGAAAAAAAAAAGAGTTTTAAAAATTTAGAATAGGAAAGCGCCAAATGTAATTCTCGAGATCGAATCGGGTTCCAAGTCAGTCCACCCAGCTCTGATGAGTACCTAACACATGTTGGGGAATGTAAAGGCGGCTTGGCAAAGTGCTGACCACACATTCCTTTCAAGTGCTGACCATACATTCCCTTCATATGCCGAGGTCAAGAAACACGAACTCTACTTCATCTGCTCAATGGATCACTAGGTCTAAAGAGTATTCTTCACTTTTTTAATACTAAAAATGAAATGCTTAGTCTAGTTGGAGTATTGTAAAGTACATATTTATGTAACTAAATGCTAAATAAGCTTATAGCAAACAAGTTCAACTACACACAGACACAAATGACACGGCTAGTTTTTACATAGCACACCCCACTCCCTAAATTTGTATCCGTGTTGATGTATAACAATTATTGTGAAACCATTTTGGACTTTTAACGTGTGAATAACTGAGTTACTTATACAAGGTTTGTGTACGCATGTTATACTGTAGTGTACGGGCGTACTTGATGAACAGCACGAACACGCATGCGCATTAACAGATATGTATAGACACATACAAACTTTCAGGATATAAATGCCATTGTTTATTCATTGTATGACGTGATGTTGCGCTGAGTTAGAAATAAAGTGTTAAAAAACGAGTGAGATATATATTTTTTTTCATTTTAAACATTTTAATTTTTTTACGTAATTAATAATAATTGCATTATAATGTTTAGTTTCTAATTTAAAGATAGCACCTTAGATTATATAGGCTACTGAAGGGTCTTTTTAAATATTAAACAGGTAAAAAGAAATTGGGATTGTTTCGTTTATGGAATTCTGTTATGTTTTAATACAGGAATAAATCTCATCGAAGACGAGGCATAGTGGCAACACTGTCGAATCAGGCAGAGGTGGTGGTGGTGGTGTGTGTAGGGGGGGGGGGGGGGGAAGGTAGGGGGGGGGGGGTCATGAGCGTAATCGCTAAATAATAGTTTTGAAAAATATATTAGTAATTATTCGGTCTATGAAAGTATATTACATTTTGAAGAAGCTTGCAAAAGGATTCACGAAATACTGAATGTTACTATAATAAATGAATAACAAGCTTGTTTTTGAAATAACTGTACTCAAACACACGTACATACATACACATAATTATATATATATATATATATATATATATATATATATATATATATATATATATATATATATATATATACATAAATAGCCTATATGTATATATATATATATGTGTATATATATACACATGTATATGTATATGCATTGCGAATGTACATGTTAAGTTGTATGTGCATGATTATTTTTTTTTTATGCCCATGCTTATGTTTCATGTTAATGTTCATGTTTTTTTATGTTTGTTTATGTGTAAGTATATGTGCATGTTTATGTGTATGTATAGGCCAACATATATGTAGGCCCATATATATATATATATATATATATATATATATATATATATATATATATATATATATATATATATATATATATATATACACACAAAAATATACAAACTCATAGATATATCCTATTCTTGTGTTTATACATATATATTACTCATTTGTGGACACTAATAAAAAATGACGGGTGGGGGAGGGGTGGGGGAGGGAAGCTGACGGTGAAGAGATCTCAAAAAGTTCTACGAATGATTAAAGAGACGTTTCACTTACAAACATTTAGTTGAAGCAGCAATCAAATAATTCAAACGAGACGAGAATAAATTAAAAATGAGTTAGTATTTAAATAAACATTAGGGCAAAATCGGATTTTTTTCAGGATAAATAAAAGTTGAACCCTCAGTAATTATAGAATTCGTGATGTTAATACTATTTTTAAAGGGGAAAAACAAACATTTCTTGTGTATAAAAACAAGGCGTTCACATTCAGCAAAAAAAATGAAAAAATTAAAAAAAATAATAAAATAAGCGAATACTTTTCGAGTTTTCCATTCCATTAGAATATACTTTAAAAAGGAACTATCAGTACTCTGAATTTAATATTTTCTTAAGATGGCCGCTGTTTTTAATAGCGATTAATCTAGCTCAACCTTCGTTGTAATACTTAACACATTTATTTGAGGACATCCTTAAAACTTAAGTTTTTAAAAGTTAGGCAGTCAGTGCTGATTATCTAGAAATAGAAATGTAATATGAAATGTAATATTTATCAGAAAATATTGGCTAAAGCCATAGGCCCTATTCATCTATTTGTCCATAGTGTACTGAATATGAAATAAGCCATTGTTTGTCTACAATCAAGGGTCATTTTGACCCACTTTTGATCGCTAGAGATGTACAGTGTGGCAAGTAGTTAAGCTTAGCCTAGCCCTGACACAATTCTGTGCGTTGTGTTCTTCCTCGCGTGCTCTACTCACCTCGCACAAAGATTACATCGCCGTCTGTCGGGAAAATAAAAACAGGGATCGACTGAACACAGTGATTAGCAGGACGCGGGGTGGAATACTGTTCTCGTGGATATTTTGTGAAAATTTATTGTTTACTGTTTTATATTCAATCGATTATTTTCAATTGTTTTAAAGACGTATTTTAAAATAATAATATGTTTTTAATATGTGGTTATTAACTTATTAATAATTTTTTTAGTTGATTTAACTTCGATGCTGAAAGAAAAACAAAAAGTGCTACTGGCAAAAAGGAAAGGCCCACACATTACCATGAGAAAAATAACATTCACATGTGTTCAGAATAATTTTTTTTCCTGTTCTCGGATAGTATACGTCGTCTGCTTGTTTCTGGTGTTGCTATTGATTGCATTCACCCCACTTCTGAGGAATACTGTACTACGACCAGTCTGGCCTGACGCTTGGAGAGAATTGAGCACTTTCGATGTCATCGAGCTTCGATTTTTCACCGCGAACGAGATGGGGGTTGAACCAGTGACCTCTTGCCTGATGAAAACACAACCCACTGTTCAAATATCGGAGATGGATACAAGAAACGTTAAAAGTTACAACGATGTCAAAGCGACCAACTTGCGAAGTTCTGACCATTTCCGGTTTCTTCCTGCTTTGAGCTTCAAGGATAAGTTGAGAATGCTTCATACGTATTTAGTGTTAGCAGAGGCACTGCGGAATGTGAGAGTGGAATTCTTTTTCGTGGATGGCTCATTGCTGGGTGTGCATCGTCACCAAGGCATCATCCCCTGGGATGACGACCTTGACATCTCAGTCAACGTCACGGACTGGAAACTCGTCCGTCACGCTCTGTCATGCATCGATGGTTACATCCTCTCCGTGACGACCTACATGCACTGGAAGTTCTACCCCAACTCCACCGACCCTCGGCTCGGATTTCCTTTCGTGGACATCTTCTTCTACACAGAGAACGAGAACTTCATCTGGGCCGTCTCGAGTTCCACCTCTCTCTACCTGGTCTTCGCCAAAGCCGACACGTTCCCTCTGACCACGGGTCAGTTTGAAGGCTTGTCCGTCCCGATTCCCAAAAACACGGATAAAATCCTAAAAAACCGATTGGATCATGGGATATGTCAGTCAAGTGCAATGAACCATATTACAGCAACTGTCCTGCCTAAATCGTCGGTTTTAGATGTTCAGTGCTCATCTTTAAGTTATTTATACACTATGTACAACTTGGATTAGAACTCGAATCTTCCATTGTTTTTTTTTTTTTAAAGTTGAATGTTACCATCAAGTTAAACTTCTAACTGGAGAAGTTGAAATGTTAGTTTGGGGGCCTTCTTGATTTGTTTTTGCTTTGTGCATACTGTATTATACATGTACTAGAGGAGTTAATGGAGCTTAATTTAAAAAATTATAGTAGATGTATTTACACCATGCCCTAAGACATACACGTGACCACACGCAAACCTTTCAAAAATAAAAGAACACCACTCGTGTTGATACTTATTAAAAATGTGATCTTTATTTGAATCTAAGTATAAAAAGAAAAAAAAACACGTAAAAGGAGTCAAAATGAACTTTTGCTTCTAAACCTATTTCTACATGGAAAATATTAATACCTTGTATTCGGGCAGTTAAAAGGGTGTTTATATAAAAACTACACACCAAAAAAATCTTGTACACAGGGGCCTACAACTAACGTAAAGCAAACTTTAAAAACAAAACAAAAAAATTTCTTTAAAGGGAAACTATCCATGTTTTAAACATAACTGTAGACAATCTTGTAAGTGTTATTTCCTTTTCCGTCCATTACAGCACTAAAGATAAAATAATTCTGCATATTGGGAGTGACTGGTGTAAATGGTTAAATTCTGCTATAATTATAAAACAAAGAATAGCCTAGACAACGAAAATATAAATGAAAACAACTTACAAATTAAGTAATTATTTTAAAATATTTGTATGCAAATAGAAATGTTTAAAGCTATCAAAATTATTCATAAACCGAATCACACATGTCTATTTAAAGCTATTTAATGTGCAAAAATATTTGAAGACTTAAGGTGAGATACTAGAGTTAGATTTTTTTTTCCTACTAAAATTAACTTAAAAAAAAAAAACAAATATAAAAGTACAACAAAAAGGCTTAGGATTTTGCTTGCATTTTGCCAAAAATAATAGACAAGCACCTCTACAGCAGTAGGGGGGCAGCAAAGTTTGAGTTTCTTTCAGTCATCTACCCCCCACACCCTCCCCAGACAAAGTAGAGAAAAACATGATATACATTTAAATTAGATCATGACTCAGTGTCCTCCCTCTTGAGAAATTTAAGTGCAGCCCCCCCCCCCCCCCCCCCCCCCAAGAGAAAAAACTCCTTAAGGAACGGTGAAAGGAAGTTAAAACTCAAACACTTGTGAAAGTGACATTGGATGTCTTCTTTTGTTGACATAGAAAATAATATATAAAAATATTTTTTTACAAAGAGCAGGGGAGTTCTCAAATGTATTATGCATTCTACTTTACACACAGAAGTGAAAGACAATCAAGTACAACCAGAAGATAAGACACAAAAAAAACAGCAGTTGTATGGTGTAGGTTCAAAACCGTAGCAATTTACCTTAACAATAACCATGTTTAAATTTTAACAAACATCATCAAGTTTTAGTATTTTATAACATTTGTAATTAATAAAGAAATTTATGAGTTCAATATGACACCAGGAAAAGCATTTTGAGAATTACAATTTATACAATTATAGTTTACAGGAATATTTTTTTTACAATTGCAGCAAAAGAATTTGCTTAGTCAGCTTATTTATTTTACACAAAACAACAACAACAAAGCCACTCTAAAGTAGCAATTAAAGTGTTAATTGATGGACAATAAAACATAAGAGATAGATCCTTCACCAAAGTGTATATAAATTTCCAGGACTCGGAGGAGGCCCTGTTATAGAAACTGAACAGTTTATAATTGACTAGTGTTGTTGAATACTAGATTGCTCATATCCTCACCCCTCATACCAAAAGTGATATCTTTTCAGTATAGATGGCGCTTTGAAATACATGCAGACGCCTTCATGCCTGTTACAAAATGAAACAGGATTTGGTTCACAACAAGATCAGAAGGCTGTTTTAAGAATATCATTCATTCCACATTGTGAACATACAGCTGTTCTAGGCTAGAACTCTCATTCAGTTCAAAGGTCAAGAGGTGGGCTGAATAATATCATAGTATAAAATTACATGTTTTACACAAACATGTACACAAAAATATACACACCCTGCAATGAAAAAAATAGAATAAAGGGGAGAGTTCACAGTTCATCAAGGCAAGTAAAATGTAATAATGTTATAAAAACATCCATATATAGATTCAGAATAGAGTCAATTAATTTATGCAAACATCAAGAGTAAAATTTAGTGAAAGATAAGAATACTAAACAGAGAAGGAAAACATACCATTTTTTTTCTATTCCATTAGTAAAAACAAGTAATTACAACAATACTATGTTTATAAAAAATTCTAAGAAGAAAAAAACATTTTAAAAACTCTTTTTCTTCCTCTAAAATTCCTAAGCAAAAATGTGCAATAACTAAAACAATGTTAGATTAGTGACAACATTCTGGTTTACGTATAATCCATTTCAACCACTTGTAGAGAATGTGTAACTAGATATATAAGAAGAAACAACTAATTGAATTTTCAAAAAAGAAAATGAAAAAAATTGGACAAATTTTATAAAACTTTCTATTAGTAGTATTAAAAAATGATTTCACATGAAAAGAAAAATTAAATGGAAGCAATTAAACAATGTATATAAATTTGGAATTACAATGGTGCAACAAAAACTATATATTTTGTAAATCAATGTTTTAAGGTGTATTGTGAGTTGTAAAATGTATCAAAGATTTTAGATATAATTATATTTATTATACATTGCAAAATCCAAACCAAAGAGAAGATACATTTTTTTTTTGACATCCAACAATTTTTCAGTTCAGCTTTAAAACCACAGCATATTTGTGGAAGTTTTCTATGTTAAATTATGTACATTTAATTTAAGACAGTAAATCCCAAGGTTTTATTCAGAAAAATATAAAATAAATTTTGAGTTAAGTTTAAAAAAAAATTAAAAGTTATTTTTAAAAAATATTTTAAATTAGAAAATAGATACATATCATTTTTACATGTTTCAAAAGAATTGCTTTGTTGTAAATATTTTTTTTGCTATATTAAGGAATGTCAAACAGCAACAGATATGTACAGTAAAAAAAAATTACAAATATGTACTTAAGACTCAGAGTCCGCAACTTTTCTTGTTTTCTTTCTTTTGGCTGCCTCCTGTGCAATGGCCACAAACACCTCTTTCACCCCTTCCCCCTCCTTGGCTGAACACTCCAGGTAAGAGAACATCTTGTTCTTTTTGGCCATGTTCTGACCTTCACCTTCTCTCACAAAGTTCTCAATGGACCTGGCTTCATTGCGAATGTCTTTTTTGTTTCCCACGAGCAGCAATGGGATCCCTGGGCAAGCTTTCTGCATTTCAGCCACCCAGTAATTCTTGACATTTTCAAAGCTCTTATGGTTGTCAACACTTAAATATAAAAAGTAAATAATACAAATTAAATACAAAAAAAGAGAAGAAAAAAATGAACTGTAAATATCTTATTATTTTTTTTTTATATATATATATATATTAAATTTACTGGAAAAACTTTATTAAGTTGAACTATGTTTTTAATTGTCTAGACAGTTGAAAGCATTGTTTAAGGCAAGGTATTGATTAAGGAATATCTGGACACTATTTCACTGTATTCCATTCATATAAATAAATAAACTTTACTGCTACAGGGTCATTAATCTCTGAAGTAGACTCTGTTAATTAATTCAGCAAGCAAAACAAAATAAAATGTAAAAAATTTAAAGTCCAGTTATTTTTAGAAATTACAATACTTATTTTACATTAATAATGAACAAACAAATGCTGCAGCAGCAGCACTTTCTCAGGTAACCATTTGAGAATTAGATGTTTGCTCTGTACCTTAAATTACTAGCTGTTTGTTTATTACACAACGGTTAAAGATGAAATGCTAAGGAGAATTTTATTATCCATAAATGACTGGCTCAGTGCAAACAAATACAATTGAAATCTATACCTGAAGCAAACAATGGCTGCATCTGATTTCAAGTAGTTTATTTTTCTTAAATGCTTGAAAGTGTCTTGTCCACCAGTATCGTAAATAAAAAGACGAACCTAGAAGGAATGGTTAAATGAGTAACACATGAAAAATATTATAGGAATGTGTGCAATTAGTAACATTGACTGTGAAACAGTAGGTAACAGAAAATTCTAGATACTTCAAATTAAAACATAAAATGCAGGTAAAAGAAAATTCTAGATACTTCAAATTAAAACAAAAAAGTGCAGGTACGAAAGTGACTAGTCTGAAGAAGTCTCCCCCCCCCCCCCCCCCCCACCTCTAATCTCGCTGGCAGAAGATGCAAAACTCAATGACTTTAAATAGGTGCACAATGGGCTCAACTTATCTTATCATAGCTGCTCAATGGGATCAAAACGCTCTTTACCGTGTGGTTGAGCAGTTTTGCTTCGAGTGGACGTCAGGGGTTGAGGGTTCATAGTATAGTTATAGTGTATCTAGTAAATAGTTCTATTCTATAAATTAACATTTAAGTAAAAAAATAAACAAGAAAATCTATTTTAATAGCCAATTTAATCTAGTATTTAAGTATTTATTGTGTTAATCCCTGTCCCATCAAGACAACACATATGCCTAAAGAATGAACATTTAGTTCACAAGAAAAATCAGATAATTTTACACTATGCTCATGTGCATCTTCTTCCAGCTAGAATCAGCCAACTGAATCTAGATACTTCAAATGGAAACAAAAAAGTGTAGGAAAAAAAAATCAAGACATTTTAAATTAAAACAAAAATGTGTACCTTTTTCTTTCCTTTAAGTTCTATTTCTTTTTCTTCAACTTTAAGAGCAGATGCTATATACTCTTGGGGTGTGTCTTCATCAAAATCATTTGTCATGAACCTTTGAATAAGGCAAGTCTTCCCTACTCCACTGTCTCCAACCACTGCAATCTTTCTGGAGATTTCTTCTTCTGCAAATGTAGACATCAATACATTGATACATCATTAGAATAAATGTAAATATCCATACATTTGATAAAGAAAATGTTTTGTTAATAAAATACAATCACCTGCTATAACAATTACTAAAAGAAAATACAACCTGAATCATCTTTGGATGTGCAGCCTCCCATAGCAAAATAATCTTTTGTTTCTCTATAGTGAAATGTCTGACGAAAGAATAAAATAATAAAATAAACATGTATACAATTAGCAGTTTAAATTACACAATAAATATACTAACATTCCCTTGTGGAGTAGCCGGAGTGAGGTTTCCTATCTACCATAGCTACGTCTTACTGAGGTAAACACAGCCCAAACTACACGGCTCCATGTAAAGGTCCAAAATTTACTGTAAGTTGCAGGACCATCTTACAAATGAATCTTTTAAAAACTCATTTTCAACTGAGACCCTACAGCTAAACAGCTTTTTATTGTTCATCACTTCTATCCAAAAACCTGAGTGTCATTAGACTATTTCAAATAATGCTACGTCTATTTTCTCTAGCAGGATGAATTTTTAAGTTAATTTAAACTGCAATGCTAGTCCAACTAAATAGGGTTTTAATCTTAGACTTGACCCCAACCAAAAATAACGGTAGGGAAAACCATAAATAGATGCAGAGAAGAGGAAGTGTGTTGGGGAGGGGAAAAGGAGAGAGTTAACAACAGTCAAGGAAAATTGGCCTAACAGTAATTTTAATATTTTGAACAGACCTAATCAATAGGTAAATAATTGAATAGCAACCCAATTTATTTCTTAAAAACCTTGCTGTATTTTTCTGAAATAAAGTCATTAGGAAGGATATTTCAAATCGTGCCCCTCCCCCACCATCTGCCTCACCCTCCAATCATGTCTTCATCAGACCTCATCACAGCCTGGTATCCCCCTTCCTGTCTGACACCTACATCTCATCTTTCCAGCCCCTCCTCCCTTGTTTGAACCATACACTAACCCACCTTTTCAAAACATGATACCATACAGTTAAGTACAACAGAACACAGCGTGGTAAAAAAGTAGAGTGTTTGGCTGTTACCCTGAAGGTCTGGTGTTCAAACTTGTGACTGGAGGTCGTCCCAGAGTCCACCCATGTTTTATAGTACTTGACTTATGTTAGGGAAAGTAAAGGCCGTTGGGTATAGTGTTGACAACACCTCTTCGCTTTCTGAGGTCAAGAAACATGAACTCTACTTCATCTGCCCAATGGATCTCTAGGTCTAAAGAGGAACTTTACTAAGAACACAACTCAATATTCTAAAAATAATCAACACTGTATCAAGGATTTATGCATTTCTATTGTTCAATTTTTAGTGAGTGATGAGAAACCTCAAATGAACAGGGAAGGGAAAAAAAGTTTTAAAAGCTGTATGAAAATATGCTTATACAGTCTTAAATAAATTAAATATTATTAATATTAATTAAAAAACTATTATTTTTGTTGACAACATTTTAACTAGCTTGATCTTCCCGAGATTATTCTAATGTGGGCTAAAAGGGGAACACATCTGGTTCAGGTGCTTAGATTTCTTATTATTTTTAGGACTTATGTTTGCTTACCGGCTATGTGTTTTTTAAAAATAGTTTTCATTTTTATATATTTTACTACTTCATACTATTACTACTACTTGACTTTGTAGCCTGGGGAACAAAGGGCTGCAATCACACATCTCCACCTCTCAATTTAATAATTAATGGTTATTAGTATTAGTAATAATAGGCCTACTAATGGAGGCCACAGAGTTGACGAGAATCATTCCATCATATTGTTGACATGGATAAAAATTCATTTTTTTTTAAATATTTAGACTTCATAACGGTTTTAAAAATAATAAAAATTACAAACTTAAACCTAAAAACAAATTCAGAAATTCAGTATTTTTAGAATCAATGTTATAAAGTTGCAAATCCAGAGAACTTGAAAATAATTTTTTGAGTTTAGGGTTACATTTCTATTTATTTTCCTCAAGCTGAAGTTATAACCTGATGTTTCACTTTCATAAGACAAACATTGACTGGCTGTACAGGAACTCTGTGATCATAGTTACAGAACTTTGCAGATAGTTTTAAAATAACATAATGCTATTTTAAACCATATGAACTACTTCTGCCAATTTTTTCATTTTGTATAATAAAATTGATGCTAGCCTATTGAATAGCAGGATGTCATTGTTTATGTTGCCATTAACACATGAAAACCAAATTGTTTTTTTTTCTTTTTTTTAAAATTGTTTTTAATTAGGGCCAACCGAAAATACTAAAACGTCAAATACATCCCCTCTTTTTTAAAATCTGAAATAACTAAACATTCACGAATTTGTAACCATATTAATTTTAATTACACTGTGCGTGATTTAAAAAAAATTTTTAATGGGCCTCTCGAATACCTTTGAGACTGTTCTTGCTTTGGTCTATTAGTCACTCTTAGTGTCTACTACTAGTTTACTAGTCAGTAATAATTTGATTAGTTAGGCCAGTTAGGCTAGTAATTTTTAATTTTAGTTAGGCCTTTCTGTTGCCTAAAATTTAAAAATTAGGCTACTAACTAGATAGACTGATACAGTGGCGTAGCCAGGAATTGGTCATGGGAGAGGTTCAAAAATGTTTCCATATGTATATAATCCTATATATAATCACAAATATATATATATACATATATATTATATATATATATGACTACCGGTAGGCTATATATATATATCTTTATATGTCAATATATGACTATAATAAACTATAATATATAGGCTACACATGACTATATATAATAGTATACTCAAATATATAGGGGTTGGGGTCCATGGGTGGGGTTATAACCCCCCTACTTTCTAGTAGTTTAGTAAGTTAATACTAATAGTTAGGTTAGGATCTAGAATTCTAGATCTAGTGATGTAGACAACAGTCAACAGCTATGCTAAACTGCCAAAACACAGCAAACTGACAGCCGAAGATCTCTAGATCTAGATCAGATTGTTGTCTACTCATTGTCTAGATCAGGGGTCTCCAAACTACGGCCTGCGGGCCGGATGCGGCCCGCGAGGTCCTTTTATCCGGCCCGCAGAGACCTTTTTGTCCACGGAAAAAAAAATGTTTGTTGGAGGTGGCTGAGGAACGTTGCCCAGAAAATTCATAACAATTTTAAAATATAGCTTTGGGTGCACCTACCGTTGCCTACCGTGTTGCAGAAATTGGTGAAAACATTGTGACTCAAATAGCAAAAAAAATGCAAGCAAGTTTTGCAATTTTTTAATTGCAATGGATGAGCCGTTGGACAGCGGTTCCCCCTCTCAACTGCTTGTGTTTATTAGGGGTGTGGATGAAGACATGAACATAACACAAGAGCTGGCTTCCCTACATAATATTATGGCACTGTTACCGGAGAGGATATATTCAATGAGTTAAAAAAAATTGCTGATTATAACTTGGACTGGACTAACCTCAGTTACCTGACTATTGATGGAGGAAAGTGGCATAAAGAAAGGCTTGGTTGGACAAGTTAAGCAGATGTGTAATGAGAAAAACATTCTACAACCAATGTTACTGCACTGTATTATTTATTTAACAGCAAGCTTTGTTTGCTTAATAAGTGGACATACGCAGTGTAGTGAATCCTGTGTTGAAGATGGTGAATTTAATAAGGTCACATTGTCACATCGGCTCAACCATATATAGTTCAGAGACATGTTGAAAGATACAAACACAGAATCGCAAGATTTACCAGTAAGATGACTAAGTTGTGAGAAAGTTCTGAGCAGGGTATTTAAGTAAGGAAAGGAAATAGGTGACTTTCTGGAAAATAAAGCAAGCCGTTGCCATTAATGTCTGATGAAAAGTATAGAAATTGGCCTCTGCAGCAAACATAATGTCATTTAAATTTTCTGAACCTAAAACTACAAAAGGGGGAAATCTAGTTTCTGTTCTATAGACCCACCTAAAAGTCTTCTGATCCAAAATTGTAATGTTTTCGGAACAAGTACAAGCCAACAACTGGACGCACTTTCAGCAGTGCAAAGTCTTCATAGCTAAAGCAACAGCTGTCAACCAGGTCATTTGCATATGAGATCATCAAAAACCTCAAGCTGCAGTTTTAGTAGCAGTTTTCTTACTTGGATTCAAAGGCAGAAGAAGTGAGACTGTTTCAAAACCCATTTTAAGCAAATGTGGCCAGATGCCCAGATGAACTGCAGTTGGAGATCATTGAATTGCAAGCAAATGACCTCCTTAGAGACTAGTTCAAAGAAGGAAGGATGGGTTTTTTAAACGTTTTTGACCAAGGAAGACTTTCCTAAAACTTTTTGCATCAAAGTACCTTTCAAATTTTGCAACAACATACCTGTGTGAACAAACATTTTCAAGAATGAAATACGTGAAGAACAATGTTAGAGCAGACTTGGACCTGGAGTGTGTTGTCGGCCCACAAGAGTGTTTTTTTCAGACTTTTTTCTCCGGGGAAGGGGGTGGACGACGACACTTGAAATTTGTATATATTTCTATATACATTATATTTCGTGGGGGGTGGGGAAGGGGAGGTAGCCATTCTTCGGGGCGGGGGGGGGGGGGGGGGGCTCTACCACCCGAAGAGATGCCTGGAAAAAAACTCTGGCCCCCGAACTGATTTTTGATAATGCGGCCCTCGGGCTGAAAAGTTTGGAGACCCCTGGTCTAGATGTTTAGAAAATTACTAGATAGGCCTAATTGATATTTATTTACTATTTACTAACTATTTAGATCTCTAGACCTAGACCTAGTCTAGTATTATTTAGATAAGATCTTGATTCTAGATTGCTAAACTAAAATTAGATAGACCTACTCTTATATATATATAGACTAGTATAGTATTTTAATAATTTAGTAATTTAATAGTAAATTAATAATAATAGGCCTAGTCTATGACAATATTTAATATTTAAATATCAATGTCAATATTCAATCAATATGACATGACACTCTCTAGCAGACTCTAGCTACTAGATTCTAGCTAGATCTAGATCTAGATTCTAGATTCTAGATCTAGATTACTAGAATCTAGAGTCCAGACTAGATTAGATCTAGATCTAGATCTAGATTTTCTAGATCTAGATCTAGATCTAGACTCTCTATGTTAAAGATTTCTAGATCTAGATCTAGATTATTCTAGATCTAGATCTAATCTAGTCTGGACTCTAGATTTTAGTATATTTAAAAAAATACATGTCAATACATGAGATGTTACAAATTTTACATTATTTCGACTAGATCTAGAGTCTAGGTCCACTTCCGTGATTCACGTCATTGAAATTGTTGTGTTGTTTAAGTAGTCCTCACACACACTGGCAACCTAACGAATACCTTACGCGGTCAACACGACATTTAATGAAATTAGGTCATAAAAATACTTCTAGGGCAGATCTTCATCCGGGCATGTTTTGCATCCACCTTTTATGGTAAAATTAGGCCTAGAGTCTAGAGCTAATCTTAAAATCTGAAATAACGTGAATTTGAAATAAAAGGACTTGAATTTGAACTCGACACCCTAGTTAAAGACATTAAACTTAAAATATAGAATCTAGATCACGTTGGATAGCAATAAAAAATTAGTAAAGCCTTTTGTTTTTAGGCTGTATGTAACATAATCCACATCATTGGGTTTTGAGTTAACGTCATAACTGGACACATACACAACAGTAAATTTATAGCCTAATAATAAAAAAGATAACATTAATAAAAAATAAATAAATCAGTAAACACATTAAAATTTAAAAAAAATCAAGTTATAAACTTATTAATTGATACGCCTAATGATCATTTATTAGCGTCAGCTGCATGGGATCGTGCACATCAGTGGCGTAGCCAGGATCGTCTCAAGGGGGGGGGGTGTTCCAATTTTTACCCGGGGACAAACTTTCGATTTGCACCCCCCTCAAACTTTCGATTTGCACCCCCCCCCTCAAACTTTCGATTTGCACCCCCCCCCTCAAACTTTCGATTTGCACCCCCCCTCAAACTTTCGATTTGCACCCCCCCCCCTCAAACTTTCGATTTGCACCCCCGCCCTCAAACTTTCGATTTGCACCCCCCCCCCTCAAACTTTCGATTTGCACCCCCCTCATACTTTTTATTTATATACCGAGGGGTCTATGAGGGGGGGGGTTATGACCCCCCCCCCTAGCCCCCCCCTGCCTACGCCACTGGTGCACATACAACTTGAAGGTGGTGCCCTACTATTTTGTACAAAGCAAAATAGTAGACTGGAAATCCTAATATTATAGACTAGGCATGCTGCCCAGCTTCGCTTTCGAAAACATTGAGAATTTGAATGCTTAATTAATTCGCCCGAGGGTCGGTCTACGACCTCAGGAGTTATGAAGAGGTTCCTCCGTGGACATTTTTTTTCGATTTATAGCTCATATAAGGCGCCGGTCAGTCGAGGTCAGTTTTGACCCCATCATCGTAGACTTTTCGGCCAACCGGCCCCCGTGTTCTGTCGCCCCAAGGCAAGATCCTGCCAAATTTGAAGCGCCTGCGGCGCCGGGAAGTGCCCTATCGGGCACCCGACAACTTTTGCTTTATATATTATAGAGATTAGCAAATTGCATAGATAAACAAAGATTTCAATAAAGTAATTAAGGCCTGAAATACTTTAGTATAGAAATGTATTATTTGAATAGATGAATCTAGAATATCTAGATCTAGAATCCAAATAAATAAAATAAATTTTATGAGTTTAGGCCGGAAAAATTGTATTGTATACATTTCATAGTGTACGTAGATCTCTAGATCTAAATCAAGTTTGAATGAAATAGTTCATTTCTTTTTATTCTAAACACGGCAGATGACGTCATTAGTTAATGTATAAGCAATAGTGACGTCACAGTTTTATGCGTTCTTTTTCACATCTATTAATGCTTTTCCGGTTGCATAAATAATACTGTTTCTCTACATTCGAATACGCCTTTATTTTTTATTTTTCTTCTTTAAATAAAATTGTGGTTATACGTTTAAAACATCTAACATATTATTTTCAACAAAAGTCCGTATAAAGTTCTCCATATATCGCTGCCGTTTCTGACGTGATGTCCGGCGAAAATATTTTGCGGACAGAGAGAGAGAAGTGCGCACATGGGGAATTATATATTAGGATGGTGGGCTACTATTGCTTTTCAAAGTACATTACACCATGATATTTCCATAATTCATCAAGACCTTTACCTTTTTCTTACGCAAATTTTATGATAAAGGCAATTTTATAAAAAGGGGGTTCTAACAGTTGATAAAAGATAATAGGCTACTTGGTAGAAAATATCTGGCGTCCTGATGAACTTTTTAAAGCAGAGTTCAAAAGGATTTTATCGATTTTCTCAATCGCGTCCCTTAAAGGTCTAAATATAAAATGTCAAAATACCATTCTCAAGGAAAAAACGAAAATTAAAGAGGTAAATAAAAAAGCATTTGATATGTTGAAAGATGTTTTTTTTTTAAAATTCATCTATTTTAAAAAAAATGTGCATTAAATAATAAACTTTCAAATAAAAAAAAAAAAAACAACCTAGACTTCAAGTTAGTTTTATATAATTTTAATTAGTATTAAAGTATAGATGACAAACTTTTTGAAAAATTTGAATGATACAAATTGCTAGTTACATTTAAGTGCTTTTAAAATGATGGATATCTAAATACGTTTATCTAATATAATCTTATCTTAACCTCATCCCCCCCCCTCCCCACACACCAGGTTTTTGACAAGTTTAAAAATAACTTATTGAGCAATTGAAAACGCACACGCGAACATGCACAATGCACATCCAAACAATAAACTTAGCCCCAGAATCGCATAAACAGAAACCGTGTACCAAAACGCAAACAAAAACACAGCCTCGTTGCAATATTTGTTAGGGTGTGTGGGATCGTAGCTGACGTCACGGTAAATTTTGTAGACAAACACTCCGCCTGAAAGAAATTTTAAAAAAAAATGAACTTAAGCCTTGTAATAGTTATTGGTGTTATTTCAACAGTGGCTTAGCTTTATTTCTTGTACTTAGTGTGGACTTAACATTTAAAAATATGTAAACAAAAAAAAAAGATGATTGTAATCAGCCGAATTCCTTACGCCTCCCATATCAGAATAGACTAATTTCCTTGCTTTCCCCTATCTGGGTAACATTGGGCAGAATTTTTAGCGCAATTTCCATACTGGGATTGCGATTATTAACTCGTCATTTCTGGATGAATGTGTGTCCGCAGCCTTTAAGTCGTATCTCCTCCTCAACGAAGCAATATCGAGGACTAGTTCCAAAAGCAAATATGTTAAGCAAGTTCCGAGGATGAACATAGGCCAAAAACAATTCCCGGAATTCCTTCCTGGATTTCCCGGAAAAGCCAAAAAACCTCGAACAAATGCAGTTTTTGGTCCATATCTCGGTAACCAGACCACTTAGCGACTTGAAACATTTACCAATCGATTCCTGCCATTATTTAGAACACTATTGCCGAAGAAAGTTTTCAAAAATATCCTTTCGTTCGGTCACAAAAAATGAATTAAGAACATTTAAACTGAGCATCGTATAGGCCTAGGATGATTTAAACTGAGCATCGTGTAGGAGTTTATATTTTTAGGATGATATTTACAAAAAATTAAAAATTGTTATGGATAACATAAGGAAATTGCGCTTAAATTGCCACTAGACTTTTTATTAACTTGTTTTTTTCTACCCCTTATCTAAGTAGCATTGGGAAAGAATCTTTTCCACTCTTATATCTAAGAAGCACTTGTCAGAATTACTTTCCTTTTCCAATGTAGGTAGCGCTGGGCAGAATTCCATTCCTTCCCTATCTAGGAAGCACTGAGCAGAATTCCATTTTCCCCCTACCTAGGTTGCGCTGGGCAGAATTCAATTTTCCTCTTCTCTATGTAGCAGAGAGGAGAGCAGAATTCCATTTCTTCCAAAATGACACACCTGTATCTAACTAAAATGTGATACAACTCCACCAACTGACCCACCATGTGATACAACTCCACCAACTGACCCACCATGTTATACAACTCCACCAACTGACCCACCATGTTATACAACTCCACCAACTGACCCACCATGTGATACAACTCCACCAACTGACCTACCTGCAATACAGGAAAACATCCCCACTACATTGACACGTTTCTGCACCTTGTCGGCCCTCATCTTATCTACTTTCGCTAATCTCAGGATTAAGTTGATCAGGACGCCAGCAGAGTCTAAGCTTCCTGCTGCGATTAAGTATTTGGGAATGGCAGGCTCTATCGGACACTGATCCATGTATTTAACACCTGAATGCATTAGAAATAAATATGTCAACATTTTTTTACAAAAAAATTTAAAGAATAATCTTTCGGTTTTGAAAACATTAAAAAAAAAAACATTACGACTTATTAGTATTGCAGTAAGAATTTTTTTCCTTCAGCTTCTCTTTTAATATAATAAACCATAACTTAATTTATACTAATTTTAATTATTTTTCCCAGTACCTTTCTGGCAACAAAAAAAAAAAAAAAAACCGAACAAAATATATAAACATGTTTTTATTGCAATCGCTTACCAATAGCTATAACAAGCAGTGAAATAGGAAGCAACATGAAAATCCCGAGACTCACAGTGCAACAAACTGTAAAAAGTTGTACTATTTAAAAAAAATTGAAACTAGCCTACATTTGACAATTCTGTAAGTATTTCTAAACTGTTCACAGATAAATTATTCCCTTCGAGCCGACCCGCGGCATATCATATGCCGCTATTTAGTTGTTGTATTTTCTACTTTTCAGTAATTCATAATTTGTGAATTTGACAGTACCAATGCTGCGACTGAAAATATTTGCTTTAAAACACTATCAGTAGGTCGTTAAGAACGGTACTACCCCCACCCTCCTTTCCCCCAACCCCTACCCCCACCCTCCTTTCCCCCAACCCCTACCCTACACCCCATCCTCCCGTGAAAGCAGCCTCCTCTTAGTTACCTCCATTAAGTTTAAAATCGTTTCAAACTAAATTATCTGCCCCTAATAGCCGTCACTAAACCCGGCTCTATGATTGTAAACATTTAGCGTGAACCAAAGCTCACCAGACCATGTAGGGGTGGGGTGGTAGGGAGCGCGCTTACAGCTTGTTTTCTAGCGTCTCTAAGAAGAGAATTATATATATATATATATATATATATATATATATATATATATATATATATATATATATATATATATATATATAGATAAATATCATAAAGCCACATACCTGCAGAAATAAAACTAATTATTGATCCTTCTAGCAAACAAATTATTCTTTCACATAGGGTTTCATATACTGGAGGATCTTCAACATGGAAAGAAATGTGATTATAAAAAACCGATATTTTGCTGTGTAAAAGTTTCTAATCCTTCGTAATAAACAGTCGTTTGTAAACATACATTGGGATAACATTCGTTCTTTTAGTCACAGGATATTGTATAGGAATAAGCGTAATGATTTTAATGATACACATGACATTCTTGGTTTCTTTTAGACTAAAAAAAGGGGGGGGGGGGATTGGGGGAGATGAGGAGTGGGTGGCGGAGAGGGGGGGGGGGGGGGGGCTGGCAATTGAAAATTCCGAGGTACGGGCACTTAGAACTTCAGACTGCAGACTACGTTGGTAAAGTATATATTGTCTGTATAAATATATATTATTTATTAATTATATATAAATAAATAAATAAATAATTATATATAAATATAGAATTATATATTTTTTCAATTATATATACATTTATTTTGTGTATGAGCGAGGGAGGGGGCTCCAGGAGAGCAGAGTTTCTTCCAGGCATCTCTTCGACTGCCCCTCCCCCAGTGTCCCCCCCCCCCCACCCCCGGAAAATGTTGTCCGCACTCGGAAAATATCAAGTGCACCTACCACCCCGGAGAAAAAAGTCAAAAAGTCTGGAGGAAACACTGCAGGAGAGATGACAGATAGAAACACGGGGCAGGGCCTACATTATAGATGTAATCTCATTATTAAAGTGATACATTATTAATGTTATACGTATTGGAAATACTCGTATAATCATTACGTCGGAGACCCTTACCCGTGGTAACATTTTGTATCTCAACATCTGGCTGGTGTGGTTCGGATCCGGGGTTTGCAGTTTGCTAAAAAAGATAATTAGAAAATAAAAATAATGTTAATTATAGTACATCCATTTTTTATGTAACAACAACAAAAAATTAAAATTGGGCGTGAGAGCAATAACACAGCTAAATATTTTGCAGACAATCATTTACTTAATAAAATTATTTGCTCACATTAAACTCCTAACTTTTGTTAATTACAATTAAGTTTTTTTCTCTCGAGTTGACCAAATAGTAAAATATCTTTTGTACAATTATGTTTATATATAAAGGAATCAATGCACATAGACTTCGTGGACAAGTTGCATTTTAATACAAATTGTTTATCAAATTTTTTTGTTATAGTTAAAGCATTATAGACCTAGTAATATAAATTTTATATAAATATAGAACGTTCTACCATTGGTGGGAATTTTATATATATATATATACATATATATATATATATATATATATATATATATATATATATATATATATATATATATATATATATATATAGTGTGTGTGTGTGTGTGTGTGTAAGTTTGTGTTTGTGTGTTTGTGTGATAACTGCATTTCAGGGTGTTTTGACAATAACTTGTCTACCGGTTGAGCTGATGATCACCTTGGTACCGGGTGACATCTCAATTTGTTGACTTGTAGCGCTCATCGTCTGTGCTTATTTTTTTAGAGACGCACCTTGAAAGTTTTCCTATGTTTGAAAGAAACGTCAGTTAAAATATTACTTCAAAACTACTAAAAAAAATGTGATACTATTTGAAATCATAACCCCGCATTTATTTGATCTGCTGTGAGTCTTAAAACATTAAAAAAAAATTAACCAAAAAAAAAACCCACAAAACAAACACCTACATTTAGTAATAAACGCAATGCAATCTTAAAATATTAGACAGGGACATAATCCACCTGAACAAATCTTATGCCCCTTTGCAAATAACACTAATTGCAGCACTAGTAAAATCTACACCATGTATTTGTAAACTTCAGTCAGGCTTTTGATAGTGTGTGGCACGGTGCACTTTGGGCCACTATGAGGAAATAAAACATCATGAACAATGTCACATGTATGACCATGCATTTACACTTGCTTATTCATACCCTCTTGAACCGCCATCTCCCCCGAAGAGATGCCTGAAAAAAAGAAACACTGCCAAACTCCCCCTCCCCTATTCCTGCTTCCTTTGATTCCACCCCTCCTCAACAATGCCCTACAGCCCTTTATACGACCATTATTATGTATTCCCCGAGTTGAGGCGCCTCTTTACAAGCAAACACCCGTGAGAAAAAGCTGGCTTCAAAATATGTACTCAACAGCACAAATAAAAACTCGGCAAACAAAAACTCAACATAATAAAAATAGGGTCAAATTTGGGAAGCCAAGTCACAAGCAGGCCTATATAGGCTATACGTGTGTGTGTATTTATTTAGAAAAATATCCCCCCCCCCTCCCCATGAGCAATGCCTGCCTACACAACTGCTTCGGTTAAAGCATTTGGTACTTTAAGTTTTTATTTTTACTTCCATTATTAACAGTAAGTTAAAACACACGACATATGACATATAATCACACATAAATTAAATTTAACAGAGAGAATATTTAACTATTTAAAGATTCTAGATTTCTAGAGCTACTTGTTTCCTTAACCACAATCTACTTGATTGCATGCAAATGGGAAATTTGACAGAATTAGTCCTTATGCAAATCGTCAGAGGTAAATTTACTTCAGTTAGCATTACAAGCAATAGAGGCAGTTTCCGATTTTAAAAACATTCATTCACGATCGTAGTAGTAAACATCATCTTTGTTGTTTCGCGATTTTGTGTTCAAAACATGGCTGGTGCTTATGGGTGCATGACAGCATGTGTCATGGAGGTGCGCTGAAAAACACCGATGTTGCACACCACAAAACGGGGGCCGGTGACGAAGTATAGGCTTGAAAAGCTGGTTCCAAATGTCTGTTGCCAGAAAGCATATTTTCCAATCAAAAATGAATTTATTATAACATTTGTGTAATAAGTACAAAATGACTTCTGATTTAATTAAGGCTAGAAATATTCAAACTAATACATACTAGTTTTATACAAGTAATATAATATAGGGGTCATCCATAAATGACGTCACGCTTTTTTGACGATTTTTACCTCCCCCCTCCCCTCCGTCACACGTCATCACAAAAAGCCAGACCCCCCCCCCCTAAAATGACGTCACACCTCAGCCTACAACCCCCCTCAAAATTGCAGTTGATTTTTTTTTTAAACAACTATATTTTTCCTAAATCTTGTCTGAACTCTGTCAAAATAGAGTATTTTAATCAATTGTTATTACAATTTATTAAAACAGTTTTCTAAAGCGCAAAATAACGTCTAAAATTAGTTTTCTAACATTGCTTTTTTTATACCCCCCCCCCTTCCCCCTCATCACACACCGTTGCAAAATTACGGACCCCCCTTCCCCCCTATGAGCGTGACGTCATTTATGGACGACCTTATAGTATTTTAGCAAACACTTTTATTTTTGATTTGGATTAGTAGAGTCATGGCGTTGTTATATTTTTAATACAAAAACAATACTACGCTATACTCCATTGACCACTATTGTGTATTTTATCAAGGAAAACAATTGTTCTGACTTTCATTGTTTTACTCTCTCTGGCCATTCCGGATAACTTCAATAAGAGTTTGAGGGTGGTTTTGTTTTTAAATATATGATTTGATAAAATAATTGTAAACGGCTCTTCAACGGCTTATATTCAATACAAAAATATGAAAATGAGTGTAATCGGTGGTTCCCAAACAGCTTTAAGTTTTTAAAAAGAAACTATAATTTTATCGCTTGCCATATTTTTAAAAATATTTAAAAAAAAAATGTAATTGCTTAGACTTTTCAAGCCTATTATAATCGAGCAAAAATGATCTAAATTCGAGTTTTGACAAATAATTTTGACAAATCTCTTCTCTTTACATTTTCGTGAGTATGAAAAACCAGTTTTGCAATTTTGTCTGTGTTTGAAAGTGTCTCTCTCTCGCTCTCTCTCTCTCTGTGTGTGTGAAAGCTATCAAATCCTAAGCTTTTCGTGAAATTTTACTTGATTTCATAATCTAATATTAAATTTCAAAATACTCTTATCAAGAAATAACTTTAAAGGTAAGAAAAAATGCATTTAATATGTAGAAACATTTAAAAAAAAATTCAAGTTTATAAAATTTATAAATAGCAATTAAAGAAAAAAAAAACTAGTTCACAAATTCAATGCATATAATTTTATTTAGTATCAAAGATTAGATGACAAGCTTGTGTTAATTTTTTTTTAGAAAAGTAAAATTTGAAGATTCTGGATATCTGAATTAGTATAACTTAATATAATTTGTATCACCATTTTTTTTTACATATTTTTGAGAAGTTCAAAGTTCAGACAGGCATGCTGCACACCCGCACAAGCAACACAGTCCTAAGACCATATAACTACAGGTGGTGTGCCAAAAGGCGAACAAGTACAAGACCTTGTGGCAATATTCCTTGGAGTTCGCAGAATCATAGGTAACATCGTCATAAACACGGTACACGAAAATACTCCCTGAAATGTTTCAAAACGAAAAAATAATTAATTATTGTAATAATTAGTTTCAATTAGTTTCAATTTATTCAATTCAATTTATTCAATAACGGTAACAACACTAGGCACGGTGGCCTTGATTCACATTGGCCGTTGTAAAACACGGTACACAAAAATACTCACTGAAAGTGTTTCGAAACGAAAATATAATTAGTTATTGTAATACTTTGTATCAATTTATTCAATTCATTTTATTCAACAACGTTAACAACGTTAGATACGGAGGTCTTTTTTTCACATTAGCCGTTAAAAAACAAAACAAAAAGAAAACAACGTAATAACAGCATTAAAAAAAGGTAATTGAGTAGTAAAGACATAGCAGTGACATAGCATTAAAGAATTGGAATTAGGAAATAATATTAAATAGTTATAACACAAAATGAGATAGAATGAGAATATAATAGATGAATGAGAAATGTTGCAATGAGTCAGTCAGGAGGTCAGTAAATAATTATTGTTTTAGCTTAGTTTTGAATATATTTTCAGATATAGTTTTCCACAATTTAGAATCAGAGCAGGCGAAGCTATGTTTTTGGAAAAAAGTTGTATACGGGATAGGTTAACTAAGACGACGACTTTATTTTGTGTTAAAAGAAAATAGGTTTGATAAGTAATAGGTGTTGTTTCATGATATATTTTATACAACACAATTCCTTTAGTATATATTATTTTTTATATATCGGAAGTATATTAGTTGTATATCCTTTCAAAATGTGGCTTAACTTCACAGTTTATAGATTTTTGCTAGTATTGACTACAATTTATAATTTGTATATAGAAAAAATTAATTCACTGGACAGATTTCCTTTTTTCCCCTATATATATATATATATATATATATATACGATGCACGGAGCGAAATTCTTTCCCTAACCAAAATTTAATCAGTACTTGAAAGAATTCCTTTTCTTCCCCATATTTAGGTAGAATGGGACAGAGTTCCTTCCCTTAACCATTTCTATGGCAGAATTCGTTTCCAATAGGCGGATTTCGTTTCCTTCGCTTATATAAGTCGCCTTGAACATCATTCACGTTCTCCTCTTATCTAAGTAGAAATGAGATTGAAATGTTCCTAGTGACTCACCTGTTATGAACCAAAAAAACTGAATCAGGTGGAGAAGCACCTCCACGGTGGACATTCGTTTACCCTCTCCTTGGACCAAGCTGATCAAGGAGGTGACAAAACCAATGCTTCCTGCCAGGAGTAGGTACGTGGGGATCATGGGCTCTATCGGACAATCATCTTTGTACAGAGCACCTGGTGGCATTAGAGGTAATTATGGAGACAATTTTTGCAAAAAAAATTCTTAAGAATAATCCTTTGGTTTTTAAAACATGTATAAGATCACCACGTTTAGAGAAATTTAGAGAATGTTTTTTTTCACGTTTTCTTCACTTTTCAGTAAAATAAACTTTTACTTTTTTAAAAAGCATATTACTTTTTAACCCAGGACTCTTCTGTTACTATTTCAACATTTTTTAAATTGCAATTGCTTACCAATGACAATAATGGAAATAGGAATACTCAGCCAAGAACTAAATAATACATCAACATATTTTTAAAAATTGTAATTGCTCACCAATGACAAGCATGGAAATAGGAACACTCAGGTAAAGTCCAATAAAAATGCTGCAACAAACTGTAAAAAAAGTACATCCTTTTAAAACGTCGCAAAACATAACATTTCTTAATAGTATACAAATCAATAATTCCCTATAGTTTTACTGTACAGCTTGTTTTGGACAACATCTCACCTGAAGATAGTATGATAACAAACACAGCTTGCAAGAAAGTGAGCGTGTTTTGTGATTCTTGCCTGGCGACGTTGATCCTTACATAGTTAGAAACTTGAGTTGCTCCTGCATTGAAACAAATGTGAGCATAAACACTGATATTTTGATGGATAATAGTATTTAATTCTTTATTGTTAACTGTCGCTTCTTACTCTCCATGGTGATGAAATTCAAGCACTACTAGTCATATTATCAGGATAAGCTAGATGGTTTCAAACACCGTACATACGTGTGCTCCATTGTCTTTTTCTTCTTCTTCGTTCTTAATTATTAGTGTTGAAGGGTGCTCCATTGTAAGTTTGATATATTATTATTGTAAAACATTTATAAATTACCTCTTCCATTATGTTGTTGGAAACTGGTACCATCACTAGACATTGTTATCTGAACATTTGCTGGTGGCGGTTGGGTGTTAACGTTTGTATTTTCCTGAACCATACATTAGAAATTAGACATATAATAAACATTTCTACATGTGGAGGCAAATTTAAAGTAGAAATGATAATAACGAGGAAATGAATCAGCATTTAATGCACATAATATGTAAGAACTATGGTGCATACGTCCGTTTTAAAGAGTGCGATACATTATGGATAAAATGGCTAATATAATTGTTTACTAAATCGAATAAGGCGCGTCCTCCCGCGTCATGGCGGGATGCGATTTAACGCTCCACGGGCTCCCCCATGAGCACTATAGCGCAGAGGCGTAGCGACCCTTCCCGGCGCCCGGGGACAAACTTTCGATTTGCACCCCCCCCCCTTCTCAAACTTTCGATTTGCACCCCCTCAAACTTTCGATTTGCACCCCCCTCAAACTTTCAATTACTTTTTCCAACCCATTTTGGCGCCCCCTAAGGTCGGCGCCCGGGGATATATGTCCACCCCCCTGCCCCCCCCCCCCCCCCATCATCGCTACGCCTCTGCTATAGCGCCTAAATTCATTTAAAAGAGAGCCATACACTTTGGATAAAATAATATCGAACCTGACGCGTCCACCGGCGACCCGGGTTTCGGATGAACTGAGCACCCGTGTGATCACTATAGCACCTACATTAGTTTTAAAGAACACCCTACAATAGATGAGTTAGCGGAAACAGGGGACGCACCCGGCGCACCTGCGTTAGTGTAATCGGTAGCTCCCGAGAGCGCCCCACGGCGCCCTGATACATCGGCAGTCTCCAAGGTGCGTTCTACCTTACTATTACAGTGGGACGGGTACGCTAGTTTTTTTTTTTACTATTTAAAAAAAAAGTTTTTAATAGACACACGCATACCCTCACACACAATCGCACATACATAAATACGCACACACACTCTCTCTCTCTCTCTCTCTCTCTCACACACACATATAAATATATATATATATATATATATATATATATATATATATATATATATATATATATATATATATATATATATATATATATACATATATAGGTGCCTGGTTACTCACTGTGTTTATGCACGTGTTTACGACCACCTGGTTAGAGTCAACAAATACCTCATTTGTTGTGACTGTTATTTGGCTATTCATCACCTGTGGATTATTTAAGTTGCCTACATTTAGTATTCAATACACACATTTAAAATATCTAACCTTAAGCTCTGGCAGGATTACAAGGCTGTAAGGGGTCATCCATAAATGACGTCACACTCGTAGGGGGAGGGGGGGCCCGTAATTTTGTGACGATGTGTGATGAGGGGGAGTGGGGGGGGGGGGTTCAGATGTTGCGACGTCACACTTTTGCATTATAAAAAAGCAATGTTAGAAAACGAATTTTAGACGTTATTTCGCGTTTTAGATAACTGTTTTAATAAATTGTAATAGTTTAGACAAGATTTTAGGAAAACAAATATCGATGTTTAAAAAAAAAATTCAACTGCAATTTTGAGGGGGGTTGTAGGTTGAGGTGTGACGTCATTTTAGGGGGGGGGGTCTGGCTTTTTGTGACGACGTGTGACGGAGGGGAAGGGGGGGGGAGGTAAAAATCGTCAAAAAAAAACGTGACGTCATTTATGGATGACCCCTAATGAGGTGCTAATGATATCTGCATCACAAAAATCTACACCGTGTATTTGTAATCTTCAAATATAGCATGGAGTGTTTCACTTTTGGCAACTTTAAATAGTGGAAATAGAACATTATTAACAACCAAAATAATTTAAAAAAAAAGCCTTGAGTAAAACTTTTTTTTTAATACGCTCCTTTCAGCTTATTAAATAAAGCGGGAGTGATCTCCCCTAAAATTTCGCGTGCAATGGTGTTTATTATTATTTTTAAATACTTACATTTTTAAAAAAGGTTAGAATTTAGTCGAAAAGGTAAACAACGTATTCAAAATTCTTTATAAAGAAAACATTGATTAATTTTTAAAAAGATTAATCAAACATCCAATTAATTCACATTTTATGTCAATTTGAAACAGATCGGTCTGAGATATCGGAAATACCATAAAGTACTAATTCTGATCACCGGAAATCACACAAAAGTTGATAGAATCAAGTTAATAAGATCTTATCGGCCTAACTCTGTATAGAATTCTGTTCACCTTAAATAAAAGGGTGCTCAAGTCATCTATATTTTAGAAACCGGAAAAAGAGTAAAGCACCACTTTGACTACCTAACTGAAACAGAACTCTATTTATTCTGCTCCCCCGGAAATGAAAGTAACTTCATAAAAATAATCCCCACATTTTATACTATAAAAAGAACAAAAAAAAAAGGTTTTCAAGAAACATGTCTTATAAAGCCTCTGCTTTGGAAAAAAACTAAATTATAATCACCTGCTGGGTTATGAAAGTGATTAAATTATACTAATTGCGCCCAAGGAGATGTATCCACTTCATGTCCGCTTCAAAACTCTCAGAGATAAGAATATTGCTAATCAATAAAAAGTATGAACTTCATGGTGGATGCAATGTCCAGAGTTCGGTACCCGAACAAAAGTCTTAGGGGGTGAATGATTCCACCAATCCCTGAGATAAACTTGACTTGGAGAGTTTAACGTTACTACCTTAGGAGGTGAATGAGTCTACCAATTTCTGATGTAAACTTGACTTTGGAAGTTAAAAATCTGATGGCGAATTCCAGAGCTTATAACACATTTTTAAAGAAACAGATGACCTCGAATTCAATTTTTACATTTAGAATCAACTTACAGAATCACACGTAAATAACAATATTTGTTTTATAATATAATATTTGAATTCTTAATTTTAAGAAAGAGATATTTATTTATTTATAGATCTAGAATCTAGATCTGCGTGTTTTCTTTGACTTGAATCTGCTTGCATGCGTAAATACTAAAAAGGAATCTTTACAGAATAGGTCCGGATGTTCGTGTGGGTTTCGGCTATGGTCGAATGAGTTAATTTACAAGCTCTAGATCCAGTAATCGTGTTAGATTAAAAGAAAGTTATTCACGACCTTAGTAGTAAACTTAAGTAAACAAAATCTTTTTTGTTTCGCGAATGTGCGGTTAAAACACGGCTGGTGTTGTTTGGTGCGCTGTGTCCCGCAGGTGCGCAGGGAAACACCGAAGTTACACATCACATAAACATAAAAATAAAGGAACAGCTTTCACTAGGATATTCAGCAGCGTCACAATGACTCCACTCTAATCGCGGGACAAACAAAATTTTCTTAATACAAATTCAATGAGAGAGTCTGACTTGTATAATAGTTCATTGTTCAACTTATTAAAATTACACACATCTTTAAGCACAAAGACTGCCAATATTGCAACTAGGCTACATCCTATGCCTCAATGTTAGGAATGAGGATCAAAACTCTGAGTTATCATACCTGCTGTCACCGGAGGCGTAGCGACCCTTCCAGGCGCCCGGGGACGAACTTTCAATTGGGCGCCCCCATGCAAAACTGCAGCTAAAATGAGATTTTAATTTTTTTCCAACCAAATTTGGCACCCCCTATGGTCGGCGCCCGGGGACATATGTACCCTCCGCCCCCCATCGCAACGCCTCTGGTTGTCACCCGAACAATTTTACGCCATCCTCGTTAACACTACAGTAGATGACACGGTCTGAACAAGAATTATTTAACAGTGGGACCGAGTGGCCTAGCGGTAGAGAGCTAGACTGCTAACCCGTTAGTCTCGAGTTCGAATCCGGGTTCAAGTCAGTGACTGTCCCTGAGTCCACCCAGCTCTGATGGGTACCTAACTCACATTAGTGTAAGTGAAGGCGGCTGGGCATAGTGCTGACCACATTATCCAGTCATATACCGAGGTCACAGAAACAAGTGAACTCTACTTCACTTGCCCCGTAATCTCATGCTTGAGAGGAAACTTTACTTGCTAACACTACAGTAGATGAAAGGGTCTGAATAAGAATTATTTAAAACTATTTCTCTCTTAATGTTTTAAAAACATAAATGATCGATATTTGTACATCCTGTTTCAACTCACGATGTAAAAACTGAATGGGCATCCTCTGGTTCCAGTGCTAGCCAATAAGGGAGTTGTCTAGGTTTATTTTTATTCAATGGTACCTGAACCAGCCATAGTAAATCCTTACAGACATGCTGAAGACGTATTTTGATATTTGCTGATTAATCAAGCAGTCGTCCTCCCAAGCGATGCTACCTTAATTATAGACTAATATCTACGCTACATCTGTCGTTGAGAGAGCAAATGGATAAATACAAATGGTAGCTGCAGTGAGGTTAATACCGATGAGCATGACCAGAAGCGTCGCAAAGTGGGGTCGAGAGAGGGGGGGGGGGTGCGGACCGCACCAGGTGACACCATTGAGGGGGTGACACCAAGACGAAAAAAATTGCAAAATATATTGCAGAAAAATGCTTTTTTTGCCAGTTCAGTTTAATTGGGTTAAAAAGTCTTTTAGGTGTAAATTGAAGATTTCGACAAGGGGTGGTGGAGGTGGGGGGGGGGGGGGTGACACCATGACGTAAACTTGCTAACTATAGAGAAAACAATGCTACACACAGGTGCATTAATGTGATTTGTCTCATTAGATTCCGCCAATCAGACATACAGAGCGTAGATTAGAACAATGGAAGGTCTGACGTTTGAGGTTGTTTAATTAATAGTGAAGGCAAATAGTATGAACATTAATAAATTTATTTTATTCACTGGTTCTTTTTACTTTCTCGTATATACGTAGTATAGAGAAAGTATTGTAATCGTGCAAAAAAAAAATCGAGATTTTTACAAATCTCGACGTTTTACACCTCACTGATACGGAAAAACATAATTTTGCAATCTTGTCCGTATGTCTGTGTGTGTGTGTGTCTGTGTGTCTGTCTGTGTGTAAACACGATAACTTGAGTACCGTTACAGCTAGGTTGATGAAATTTCATATATAAGTATTATATCAAAATCGTAGATCCGTATCAACTTTTGAGCGATTTCCGACAACCGGAAGTGGTACTTTTTCTACTTTGAATTTTTCAAAAGCCTATAACTTGAGTACTATTTCAGATAGATAAATGAAATTTCACATGTAAGTAAAAGATCTAATTCTCTACCTTCTGTTAAATTTTGAGCAATTTCCGTTGACGGGAAGTACTAATTTACGCTATTTCCGATTTCTCAAAAACGCATCTAAATTTATAAAGTACTAATAATATTGCGCACCATTATGAACATCTTTATTCGGCGTTCGCTTGGCGCACAATACTTTTTTCTATGAGATTCTATTCTATTTTAAAAAGTTTAAGTATTTAAAATGGATTAAAAATCATAACTAGATCTATATCCCGAGTTCCCATCCCCTGTTGTTTTATATAAGAATATTCGAGAAAGTTTAGGGGAGATCACTCCCGGTTTATTTAAAATATTATTTTAATTTTCAGTAAAACTAATTACCAGCAATTTAAAAAAAAAGAGATACACGGTTGACTGAAGCAATCGTGTAGGGCATCTTTCAGGTTGGACTAGCTTAATGGTTTCAATCTGATCAACATTTTTTTTAACGTAACATATTCAAATTAAAATGACTTCTAGAATGTTATTTCTATCCTAATATGTTGGACCGACTCCGCAGGACATCCCTGAACAGGTGAACTCCGCTTCACCTATCCCAAGCTGGTTGGAAATGATAGTTCTTTAATACTTTGGATTTGATAAGTATGTTCTATTGAAATTTTTTTTTTTTCTTTTTGAATTTTTTTTTCCCCAAAGTTATTGACATTTATTAAGCATTCATTATATGTAGACAACATAGGAAAACATTTATTTGATTACATTATAACATGGTATCACATTATCATCCAAGATACTCCAGGCTGGCTTTTGCTTTTTCCCATTTCATGCAAGAAGGAATAAAACTGTGGTAATGTCAATTCTAAGAACACATTTTTGGTACCATTTCCAGTGTTTATCACAAGCTTCAACTGCAAGAATGTGTTTCCAACTTTATCCAACTCACTACTGGATGCTGTGACTCCAAATTTCCACTCTATGTCCACTAATTGATTGACCATTAAAGTTTGTCCTTGAGCACCTCTTGACAAAGCTACTAGATTTGCTTCAAAATGGCTGGCCACTTCTTTTGCTTTTTGTGCTGAGAGTCCTAAAGTTTGAAGATCCTCCTAGAGTTGCCCAGAACTTAAGCTTTTTTTTAGAGCAGAATTAGGTAAAGAGACCAAACTTTTGAACACATTTCTTAAAGGGCCAACACTAATACTATTTTCTTGAGCAAATTCCTCCAGCTGTGACATCAATCGGGCAGACTTGCTGGGTTCTAAAAGAAACTGGAATGCAAACTGTACAAGTTGATTGAAGGGCTCATTCTGAAATTTATTCAACGCTTGAAAGTCACTAAACATTGAATCTGGTGGAGTTTCTTTTATAAAGTTGAACGTAGCTGCCATCTTGTTTGTTTGGGTTCTTTTTGAAAATATAGATCGCATTAATGCGATATCAGTTAGCGTAACAAATGAATTTAGTGAAGATTTCGCATCACTACAAAATTTCTTCAAAATATTAATATCGTTTGAAAATTTAAAATACGGAACAGCATTATATTTATTTGCAAAAAATACACAAACATGTACATTTTGTATCTAACAAATTCTTATTTCAAACATACTTTGTGTAAAAACAGTTGCAAGTTTAGTTATTTGTTCGTATTAGTATTGTAAATAATTTTTGTTTTGACTAAGGGAGTTCTTTAAAAGTTGTTTCCCTTACCCCATAATTAAAACAAATTGGGAAGTGATTGAAATTACTTTTTTACTTTCTCGTATATACGAAGTATAGAGAAAGTATTGTAATCGTGCAAAAAAAAAATCGAGATTTTTACAAATCTCGACGTTTTACACCTCACTGATACGGAAAAACATAATTTTGCAATCTTGTCCGTATGTCTGTGTGTGTGTGTGTCTGTGTGTCCGTGTGTAAACACGATTACTTGAGTACCGTTACAGCTAGGTTGATGAAATTTCACATATAAGTATTTTATCAAAATCGTAGATCCGTATCAACTTTTGAGCGATTTTCGATAACCGGAAGTGGTACTTTTCCTACTTTGAATTTTTCAAAAGCCTATAACTTGAGTACTATTTCAGATAGATACATGAAATTTCACATGTAAGTAAAAGATCTAATTCTCTACCTTCTGTTAAATTTTGAGTAATTTACGTTGACTGGAAGTAGTAATTTACGCTACTTTCGATTTCTCAAAAAACTAATGTAAATTTTAGAAGTACTAATAATATTGCGCACTATTATGCGCTTTTTAATTTGGCGTTCACTTGGTGTGCAATTAATTTGTCTACGAGATTTTATTCTATTTTTAAAACTTTAAGTATTTAAAATGGATTAAAAATCATGTCTATAGCCCGAGTTCCCATCCCCTGTTATTTTATATAAGAATATTCGAGAAAGTTTAGGGGAGATCACTCCCGGTTTATTTAAATAGATAAACATTGTACACTATTAACAGCTAAATGATTCAACAATGTAATCACTTCGTATTCATCGTAGCTATGTGTAGATGATTTTATTTCTATAAAAATTGATATGATTCACACTATAGAAAACGATAAAATGTTTCTTATTTTACTCTGCAAAGAGATTATATTAGTCCATACTCAAACCAAATCCAATACATTTATAAGCCATGTTCGATTTTTACACACAATTATAACCAGGTTAGATTCTTACAACTATCTTAGCCCATACTCCATACGGGGTGATGGGTGGATGGGCGATAGATGAGTGGTAGGTGCGGGGTGATGGGTGGATGGGCGATAGATGAGTGGTAGGTGCGGGGTGATGGGTGGATGGGCGATAGATGAGTGGTAGGTGCGGGGTGATGGGTGGATGGGCGATAGATGAGTGGTAGGTGCGGGGTGATGGGTGGATGGGCGATAGATGAGTGGTAGGTGCGGGGTGATGGGTGGATGGGCGATAGATGAGTGGTAGGTGCGGGGTGATGGGTGGATGGGCGATAGATGAGTGGTAAGTGCGGGGTGATGGGTGGATGGGCGATAGATACATGAGTGGTAGGTGCGGGGTGATGGGTGGATGGGCGATAGATGAGTGGTAGGTGCGGGGTGATGGGTGGATGGGTGATACATGAGTGGTAGGCGCGGGGTGATGGGTGGATGGGCGATAGATACATCAGTGGTAGGTGCGGGGTGATGGGTGGATGGGCGATAGATGAGTGGTAGGTGCGGGGTGATGGGTGGATGGGCGATAGATGAGTGGTAGGCGCGGGGTGATGGGTGGATGGGCGATAGATGAGTGGTAGGTGCGGGGTGATGGGTGGATGGGCGATAGATACATGAGTGGTAGGCGCTGGGTGATGGGTGGATGGGCGATAGATACATGAGTGGTAGGCGCGGGGTGATGGGTGGATGGCGATAGATGAGTGGTAGGTGCGGGGTGATGGGTGGATGGGCGATAGATACATGAGTGGTAGGCGCGGGGTGATGGGTGGATGGGCGATAGATGAGTGGTAGGTGCGGGGTGATGGGTGGATGGGTGATACATGAGTGGTAGGCGCGGGGTGATGGGTGGATGGGCGATAGATACATGAGTGGTAGGTGCGGGGTGATGGGTGGATGGGTGATACATGAGTGGTAGGTGCGGGGTGATGGGTGGATGGGCGATAGATGAGTGGTAGGTGCGGGGTGATGGGTGGATGGGCGATAGATGAGTGGTAGGCGCGGGGTGATGGGTGGATGGGCGATAGATGAGTGGTAGGTGCGGGGTGATGGGTGGATGGGCGATAGATACATGAGTGGTAGGTGCGGGGTGATGGGTGGATGGGCGATAGATACATGAGTGGTAGGTGCGGGGTGATGGGTGGATGGGCGATAGATAAGTGGTAGGCGCGGGGCGATGGGTGGATGGGCGATAGATACATGAGTGGTAGGTGCGGGGTGATGGGTGGATGGGCGATAGATACATGAGTGGTAGGTGCGGGGTGATGGGTGGATGGGCGATAGATGAGTGGTAGGTGCGGGGCGATGGGTGGATGGGCGATAGATACATGAGTGGTAGGTGCGGGGTGATGTGTGGATGGGCGATAGATGAGTGGTAGGTGCGGGGTGATGGGTGGATGGGCGATAGATGAGTGGTAGGTGCGGGGTGATGGGTGGATGGGTGATACATGAGTGGTAGGTGCGGGGTGATGGGTGGATGGGCGATAGATGAGTGGTAGGTGCGGGGTGATGGGTGGATGGGCGATAGATGAGTGGTAGGTGCGGGGTGATGGGTGGATGGGCGATAGATGAGTGGTAGGTGCGGGGTGATGGGTGGATGGCAATGGATGAGTGGTAAGTGCGGGGTGATGAATGGATGGGTGATAGATACATGAGTGGTAGGTGCGGGGTGATGGGTGGATGGGCGATAGATGAGTGGTAGGTGCGGGGTGATGGGTGGATGGCAATGGATGAGTGGTAAGTGCGGGGTGATGAATGGATGGGTGATAGATACATGAGTGGTAGGCGCGGGGTGATGGGTGGATGGGCGATAGATACATGAGTGGTAGGCGCGGGGTGATGGGTGGATGGGCGATAGATGAGTGGTAGGTGCGGGGTGATGGGTAGATGGGTGATAGATGAGTGGTAGGTGCGGGGTGATGGGTGGATGGGCGATAGATACATGAGTGGTAGGTGCGTGGTGATGGGTGGATGGGTGATAGATGAGTGGTAGGTGCGGGGTGATGGGTGGATGGGTGATACATGAGTGGTAGGTGCGGGGTGATGGGTGGATGGGCGATAGATGAGTGGTAGGTGCGGGGTGATGGGTGGATGGGTGATACATGAGTGGTAGGTGCGGGGTGATGGGTGGATGGGCGATAGATGAGTGGTAAGTGCGGGGTGATGGGTGGATGGGTGATACATGAGTGGTAGGTGCGGGGTGATGGGTGGATGGCAATGGATGAGTGGTAGGTGCGGGGTGATGGGTGGATGGGTGATACATGAGTGGTAGGTGCGGGGTGATGGGTGGATGGGCGATACATGAGTGTTAGATGCGGGGTTATGGGTGGATGGCAATGGATGAGTGGTAGGTGCGGGGTGATGGGTGGATGGGTGATACATGAGTGGTAGGTGCGGGGTGATGGGTGGATGGGCGATAGATGAGTGGTAGGTGTGGGGTGATGGGTGGATGGGCGATAGATGAGTGGTAGGTGCGGGGTGATGGGTGGATGGGTGATACATGAGTGGTAGGTGCGGGGTGATGGGTGGATGGGCGATAGATGAGTGGTAGGTGCGGGGTGATGGGTGGATGGGCGATAGAGTGGTAGGCGCGGGGTGATGGGTGGATAGGCGATACATGAGTGTTAGGTGCGGGGTGATGGGTGGATGGGTGATAGATGAGTGGTAGGTGCGGGGTGATGGGTGGATGGGCGATAGATGAGTGGTAGGTGCGGGGTGATGGGTGGATGGGTGATACATGAGTGGTAGGCGCGGGGTGATGGGTGGATGGGCGATAGATACATGAGTGGTAGGTGCGGGGTGATGGGTGGATGGGCGATAGATGAGTGTTAAGTGCGGGGTGATGGGTGGATGGGCGATAGATACATGAGTGGTAGGTGCGGGGTGATGGGTGGATGGGCGATAGATGAGTGGTAGGTGCGGGGTGATGGGTGGATGGGTGATACATGAGTGGTAGGCGCGGGGTGATGGGTGGATGGGCGATAGATACATCAGTGGTAGGTGCGGGGTGATGGGTGGATGGGCGATAGAGTGGTAGGCGCGGGGTGATGGGTGGATGGGCGATAGATGAGTGGTAGGTGCGGGGTGATGGGTGGATGGGCGATAGATACATGAGTGGTAGGTGCGGGGTGATGGGTGGATGGGCGATAGATGAGTGGTAGGTGCGGGGTGATGGGTGGATGGGCGATACATGAGTGGTAGGTGCGGGGTGATGGGTGGATGGGCGATAGATGAGTGGTAGGTGCGGGGTGATGGGTGGATGGGTGATACATGAGTGGTAGGTGCGGGGTGATGGGTGGATGGGCGATAGATGAGTGGTAGGTGCGGGGTGATGGGTGGATGGGCGATAGATGAGTGGTAGGTGCGGGGTGATGGGTGGATGGGCGATAGATGAGTGGTAGGTGCGGGGTGATGGGTGGATGGGTGATACATGAGTGGTAGGTGCGGGGTGATGGGTGGATGGGCGATAGATGAGTGGTAGGTGCGGGGTGATGGGTGGATGGGCGATAGATGAGTGGTAGGTGCGGGGTGATGGGTGGATGGGCGATACATGAGTGGTAGGTGCGGGGTGATGGGTGGATGGGCGATAGATACATGAGTGGTAGGTGCGGGGTGATGGGTGGATGGGCGATAGATACATGAGTGGTAGGTGCGGGGTGATGGGAGGATGGGCGATAGATGAGTGGTAGGCGCGGGGTGATGGGTGGATGGGCGATAGATACATGAGTTGTAGGCGCGGGGTGATGGGTGGATGGGCGATAGATGAGTGGTAGGCGCGGGGTGATGGGTGGATGGGCGATAGATACATGAGTGGTAGGTGCGGGGTGATGGGTGGATGGACGATAGATGAGTGGTAGGTGTGGGGTGATGGGTGGATGGACGATAGATGAGTGGTAGGTGCGTGGTGATGGGTGGATGGACGATAGATGAGTGGTAGGTGCGGGGTGAAGGGTGGATGGACGATAGATATATGAGTGGTAGGTGTGGGGTGATGGGTGGATGGGTGATAGATACATGAGTGGTAGGTGTGGGGTGATGGGTGGATGGGCGATAGATGAGTGGTAGGTGTGGGGTGAAGGGTGGATTGACGATAGATGAGTGGTAGGTGCGGGGTGATGGGTGGATGGACGATAGATACATGAGTGGTAGGTGCGGGGTGATGGGTGGATGGGTGATAGATACACGAGTTTTAGGTGATGGACGATAGATACACGAGTGGTAGGTGCGGGGTGATGGGTGGATGGACGATAGATACATGAGTGGCCAATGCTGGTTGAATACAACGAGGGCCATAACACATTAGTTATGATGGTTTTGTTGAAACGTACACCTCTTCGTCTTGTATTATTTTGTTCTTGTGTCAAAGAAATAGTTCTCATTATGGTCGCTTGTAATGGTCTGTACAATAACTTACAATTTTAATTACAATTTTCATCCTCATCACAGTCACAGAAAAAAAAGAAGCAAACGAATTAAACACAGTCAGAGGTGACAAAATGTTTACACGATTTTAATTAGTGTTTAAGGTTTGATGACAATTTTAATTAGTGTTAAAGTTTTGATGACAATTTTAAATTTTTTTTTCAATTTATAGTACAACTTTTGGGTTTCTTAATTCCGTTTACCTTTCACAAATTCTTGTTAAAAGCTTTTCTTCCCATAGTAGCACTTGCTGAGAGGTGTGAACACAGTTTAATGCCCTTCACCCATCAGGCTAGCGGCACACCACACCAAAAACAATCCACAGTACACGCCCAATACCGTGTAGACGGCGTTAGTAAGAACGACAGAGAATTCATACAAAGTCTTGTGACAGTATTTGTTGGATGTCGGCTCGTAGCTCACTTCACCGGAGATGCGGAAGATCCACACATTACCTGCAATGATGAATTATAATAATAAACTGGCAACTCAACGTCTTAATTATTTGTAGCTTAGGCTTTATTGGGGAGGGGGGCAGGGGTGTAGGGGTTATCCATAAATGACGTCACACTTTTCTGGACAATTCATACCTCTTTCTTTTTCTTTTCTCGTTCGTATGTTTTAGAGACCCCGACAAATGAAGGGATAGTTTCCGTAACGCTAGTTAGATACTTACCAAAGCTGGGTGGACTCAGGGACGTTCTACTGACTTGAACCTGGATTCGAACTCGAGACTTTCGGGTTAGTAGTCTAGCTCTTGTCACCTACTTAGGTCTTATTTTTTTTATAATTTAGTTTTTGGCTTATGTAATCGACCTTGGGAGAGTTGTGGTACAATCACCAGTATTTTTCAGTCACGTCAGGTGATGAAATTTTCCAATAAATTTTAATTGGTTATTTCGAACTTTGGTAAAATCCCAAACAATAGTCTTATGACTTTGGAGTGACCTCCCCTGGTTCTGATCTGATTTAAAAACCCTGAACGCGCAGGCTCTGCGCAGCCTTCTATCAGAGATCTCGAGAGAGAGTGCCATGTGTGTGACGCCATTTTGTGTTACATAGTTTATAGCAGCAATTTTTCCCCCTATTATTGGTGATTCTAAGTTTATTCAGTGCTTGCAGTAATTTTCCTTAAGCTGCGTTCTTTATCTAGTGCCATATCTGTGATATTCGTAATCTAGACTAGTAATTTTTCATCAACTGTAAGTTGGGTTTCGCTTTATTTTGTACTCTTAGATTCTATATTATTTTGTACAGACCTAGTGTCACTTTTATTCCTGTACTCATATTAAAAGGTTGTTGACCGTTTAAAGTTGTTGTGAGTCACACCAGTTCAGCATGTTATTCCCCTAGATTTTATTCACGAGCCCACGTTGAGTTTTGTTGTGTGTCTAACACTCTCCATTGTAGTTGACATCTGTCATTAGCCATCTCAAAACGAACCCGGGGCGTTCGCTAGCTCTGCGACTGTCAGAATAGCGTTCGTAATACTCTCTACCGCTAGGCCACGTCATCCCATATTCATACCTACCCCTCACCTAATATAAGTGGATCGGAAAGATGCGCAACGGAAAAGTGCGCAAGGGCATTTTTGTTTGCGCAGTTTTCCGATTGCGCAGTTTCCTGCACATCAGCCTACAAACACCCCCAGAACCGCATTTTTAAACTAAAAACAGCGATTAAAAAAAACAGAGCTCAATCAACATTGAAAATATTAATTTCTATCTCAATTTAAAAAAAAAGAAGTTTAAAAAATCGTGAAATAATGGTTAAAATTCTTTTTCCGATTTTACTTTTTAAATGAAAAAATCTCATCACACTTACTGAACACCTCCTCCCCCTAGCAGAGTAACATTATTTATGGACAACCCGTATGGCGGACTCAAAATATATAGATACCTTTGTTAAAAAGAACACAGCCCATTTCAGCATCCCTTCTCCCCCACCCCATCTAAAAAGAATTGCTTACGAAAAAACCAAATCAAGTGTTATACAACTATTCATGTTAACTCACCTGCAATAAACCAGACTATTATAAAAACTATAATGATAATTTCCATTGGGCTTATTTTATATTTGTCCTCCTCTTTCAACATCAAATGTTCCAGTATAACTGCCAAAGCGTAGGCGCAAAAAAAGCTCCCCATTACAATGAGGTAGATTGGAATCATGTGTTCGATAGGACAATCATCCAAGTAAAGCGCACCTAGAAGTATTAGACATGGTTACGTGCGCATGTTTTACAACACATTCTTTAAAAAGGTGACCGGAAAGATGCGTAACGGAACACTGCTCAACGGAAAACTGCGCACAAAAAAAGGGCACATGGGTATTTTTGTTTTTTTACATCGAGCATTTATAGACATTTAAAAAGAGTGTAAACAGGTACATTACAGCATAATAAAACATGTTTCAACAAAATAAAACAAAACAATTAGTTTGCGCATTTTTCTGTTTGCGAAGTTTTCCATTTTTTTTTTGGGAACCCTTTAAAATCACTACTCTATTTTAGAAGAAAAACGCATCTTTTGTTTATTTAAATTTTCATTAAAATGCTTCAGTTTATTTGAGAAACGTATTAAATTTTATCACTCTTCTATTAAAGAATTATAAATTAAAAAAAAAAATCTTACCAACAACAATCATTGAAATAGGTGACACGAGGCAAGTTGCAACATAAAGTGTTAAACCAACTGTAGGAAAATATAATCTTTTAAAAATTTGAAATGTATTTTTTTTAATATTCATAATGCAATTTATAAATTGTTTATAAATAAATGTTCCTCATATCGTTAATTAAAGTACAATAGATGTAAGTATGTAAGGGGCTGCCAACCAGAAAGTCTCGAGCTCGAATCCGAGTTCAAGTCAGAACAATGTCCCCCAGCCAAGCTGCGATGGGTAACTTACTCACGTTAAGGAAAGCAAAGGCGGCTGGGTATACTGCTGTCGCATGCCGAGGTACCTGAAACAGATGAACTCTACTTCATCTGCCGCATGTGTCTTGGGCACGAATGGGAAAAGATGATGATGATAATAGAAAGGAGATGAGAGCTCACATAATTATTCCTTGAAGTACAAAAAATGTCAAACGAAAACATAGAGATAAAAAACTTACCGAATCGTAAAAGTGCATAAGCTGTAAAATAAAAACATAGAGGTAAAAAACTCAATAAATTGTAAAAGTACAAAAGATGTCAAACAAAAACATAGAGATAAAAAAAATAACTCACCCAATCGTTAAAGTACAAAAGGTATAAGAGAAAGGAAGGAGATGAGAACTCACGTCTTGAAGACTTGAACTTTACATTTGAGGTTTCAGCAGATGAAGGAGTAGGTCTATCTGCATGGGGAATAGATGTCAATATAAAAAAATCATAGTTTGATGTTAATTTATGTTTTATCCTATACTAGCCGTCCCAGCCAGGCCCTGCTCTGGCTTCCGTGAAAAACCTTTCTGTTAAAGACCATTACCTGTGTGTTTAGTAATCATCATAAACCCGGCATTGCCCACCCAAACCACAACCAACCAAAACCAAAACAACAAAACGCAAACATAACGCTAACACAATTACAAATACAAACGAAAACAAAAACCTAACAACAAACACAACCACAAACACCAATACAAACACAAAGAAAAAACAAACAAAAAAGCAAACGAAAACAAAAACCTAACAACAAACCCAACCACAACCACCAATACGAATACAAAGAAAAAAAACAAACGAAAAAGCAAACGAAAACAAACCAAATCCAAACGCAAAACCAACCACAAACACAAACACACACCCAAAGAAAAAACACAAACGAAAAAGCAAACGAAAACAAACCAAATCCAAACGCAAAACCAACCACAAACACAAACACACACCCAAAGAAAAAACACAAACGAAAAAGCAAACGAAAACAAACCAAATCCAAACGCAAAACCAACCACAAACACAAACCCAAAGAAAAAACACAAACGAAAAAGCAAACGAAAACAAACCAAATCCAAACGCAAAACAAACCACAAAAACAAATACAAATACAAACCCAAAGAAAAAAACACAAACGAAAACGAAAAAAGAAAGAACAAAAACGAACAAAATCAAAACGCAACCACTAACGCAAACCCAACCTAAACACAAAGAAAACACTAACGCGAATTTAAACGCAAAGTGCTCACAGTCTAGCCCGGGGCGGAATCGATTGTTTCAGCTTAATAAACGACTATATTATCCCAACTTATTCATAGTCTTTTGCACTCACTTAAACGAACTTAGACGCCAAACCGAACACGGGAGGCCCGGGGCCCCAAATAGCACCCTGTCTGGGCGCCAGAGGACGCCCGCATTCGTTTCACTTAAAGACGGTAGTAACCTTTCTTAACCATACTCTATCGCACTGTTTAAAGCGAAATTATGCACCATGGCGCTCACAGGATAGCCCAGGGTGCCAAATTGAACCCTGGTTGGGGCGCCGGTGGACGCGCCTGTTTCAATTTAATGAACAAATTATAATACTCCAAGCTTATCCGTAAAATACCTACAACATTTGCACTTGATCAATCCCCGCTAATTATGTAATTATTTTTTCCCCAACACCAAAACAAAGTAATAAAAAGTAAATTCTTTTCCACTAATGCAATGTTTTATAAAGGGAAGTAATTGTGTTTTCCTAATTAATCAAAGGGAAGTAAGTGCTAAAGGACTAAATATAAATAATTTTCAGACATCATTAGAATTTTTGTAAAAGATGATATTTTTTTAAAATTGTGTTTAATGAACATGCGGACAATTATTACTATCTGTTTGAAAAATGAAAATTATTTCCCAACACTTTCAATAGTAATTTTTTAACTCACAAATTTAGACCATGAGCACTATAATAATCTAACACTTAAATCCATCCAAGTATCCACGACAAACTTATTACAAACATTTCTCAAACATACAGAATTGAGCTTTATATATTAGATTATCAACAGTTGTTTCCCCTGTTTCTTTCACGGGTGTGGGCGCGGACACTAAATAAATTATATATTTTTTTAAATTTAAATAACGTAATTGTTTTATATTGTTAGGAGGCGGGCGTTGGGATGGGTGAGGGGGGGGGGGGGGGACTTCCCACTCTTCCCCTTAAAGAGATGCCCAAAAGAAAGTCTGTTTTTTATAATTGTAGGAAAGAGAAAAAAAGTTGCTTCTGGACACATTATGTTATATATGAATAAGGTTACTGATTTGATAAAATAAATTGGAACCGTAGATCATTATAAATGCGCTCATTCTACACATAATGCATTTTACATGAAATCCAATATAAACGCACCCTGACCTGTATGAGGCGACGGACCTTCAGTAGATTTGACACGGTCACTCGCAGCACAAGCTGGTGAAAGTGGCATTTCAACGACTGAATGTTGCTGAAATAGAAATAAGAAATTCAAAACATTATTGGTTATTATGAATAAAGAATTTAAAAAATGAATTAAAAAAAAACAACAACAAAAAAAAAAAAAATTTCTGTTGAAAAGAAACAAGCCCAATTAAAATTCGGCTTAAGAGCGGCAATACATAATATTACAAATTAAATATTATTTTACTTAATAAAAAATTATTTAGTTTTTTTATTTAAATATTGCCTCACATATTGCCTGTGATATTGATTTTTTTGAGTAAACGAAATTAATAAAACTCTACTGTATTCTGCCTAAATGGCTACGTGGTCAAAGGCACATTATACAAATACGGTAGAAATCAGATAATTATGAAAAATTTCCATATTTATATATATATATATATATATATATATATATATATATATATATATATATATATATATATATATATATATATACAGGCTACCATCTTTACCATACGAATTACCTTGTCACACGCAGTGTTTCCAACAATCTGGCAACAGGTCGTGTTTGTGATCACCTGGCCACAACCTGCCATCTGCACAAACTGGCAACCCGGTGAGCTTGTGATCACCTGACAACCGGTCGTTTTTGTGATCACCTGACCACAACCCGCCATCTGCACAACCTGGCAACCCGGTGAGCTTGTGATCACCTTGCAAGCGGGCGTGTTTGCCATCATCTGGCCACAGCGTGCCGCTTGAACAATCTGGCAAGCTGGTGCACTGGTGATCTCCTGGTAACCGGGTGTGTTTTGGACCACCTGGCCACCGACTCTCCTCTCAACAACCTGATAACCGGTACTCTCGCTGACCGGGTAATCATCCCTCTCAGATACTTGGCTAGCAATCGACATTATTTTCCTTATGACACACGCCGAATGTGTACCTGTGTGCAAAACGAAGTTGTTAAAATACCACTCTAAAGGTTTGATTTCGCAATATATTATATATATATATATATATATATATATATATATATATATATATATAGATATATATATATATATATATATATGCAAGTGTAAAAATAACAAGCTGCTATGTAATTCTATATGCTATAAAAGTTCATTTTGTTGTAACAAATGATAATATTGATTGATTGAGACTATAGTACAATAAAAAATTTGACGAATGTTTCTGTCATTTACTTTAATTAATAATCAATAAAGACTTAATTTCGTGATCCTTAAGGCATAAAAAAAAGACAAAATCTGCTCATGATCTTCTAATTCGGACTTTGGTCGGTCCACCATGGCCAGTCCGCAGACCAATGGGAGACGATATTGGCCAATCCGCGCATTGGCTGACTTCGGGCTTTGACCGTAACACACACACACACACACACACACACACATATATATATATATATATATATATATATATATATATATATATATATATATATATATATATATATATATATATATATATATATATATATTTATATATTTATATATTTATATATTTATATATTTATATATTTATATATATATATATATATATATATATATATATATATATATATATATATATATATATATATATATATACATATATATATATATACATATATATATATATATATATATACATTTATATATATATATATATATATATATATATATATATATATATATATATATATATATATATATATATATATATATATATAATATATGTATGTGTGCGTCTGTGTGTCTACGTATATGTACATGTTAATAAGTCTGTTTCTTTTAAGCCTCACTCATTCGTCAGTTGGGAGGTTGTTGACAAAACTGCTATAACAAAAAATATCGGAGGGACAGCGGTCCAGCTGTAAGATGCTGTTTGATGCCAAGAGTTTCCCAGCGGCTGTTTTAGTACCTGGGGCCCGCCTATTTGGCGTTATGCACAGGGGGGGGGGGGGTTAAGGGCACGGCACTACTTGAGTCAACGGTCAAACTGAATTTGGTCATGTGAGCACGGGCGCCCATAGCTTCCCCATGAGCACTATGGCGCCTACTTTCGTTCTAAAAACCGCCATACGCTATGGATACGGTGGGCTACTACACTTAATGGCTAAATTGAACCAATCGCATCTTCCGGGGCCACGGCGGTCATCTAACCCGTCTCCACCTTTAGTAATATGACTCCCGTCAATTCTCCTCCTCCCTCTTGCTGATGTTTTTACTCGACCACTACCCAACAATACTCTACACCTGCCCATTATCTATAAACTAAATCAACACACATAATCATTGGTAAATAATATTTAACATCGAGATTACTTAATTATTTATACACATTCCCTTTGACCTACTTGTATATGTAACAATGGGATTGTTCCAGTAAAAATCCTGGGAAGTTCAGTAAACTTGCTGGCGGTAAATTCAGTCCTGGTAGAAACAGTAGTAAGGCTTGCAGTTATGGTGCAGAGTATGGTGATGGTGCTGCATTAGTAGCTGTCTCAACTGTATTATTGATCGGTTTTTCTATGATTCGCTTATTAGATGGTTAATTAAAATTCATGTTGTTGTAATTACTAACATTAATTCACGAACCTAGTAATAAACATAAACTTATGTTGTTTCGACATTTTGTGTTCAAAACATGGAAAGTGCTAATAGGTGCACTGTGTCCCGCAGGTGCAAAACGCCGATGTTACAACATAAATAAATCGAGAGCGATCTCCCCTAAACTGACTTTAAGTCCTTTATTTTTCTGAATGTGTTATAGCAGTCAAGCGTTCTATCACTAGGCCACCGCCGCCAAACTGTGGAGTGTACGTTAGCGACAAAACTCTGCAATTTCTCCCTGTCCTAGGCAAAACACCTGATTTTATACCAGGTGTTACCTGTGGTCAGCACCTTTTCTTCCATCTCTCTCATCCACGTTCGCAATTGACCTCAGTGATATATTTGGGAGCATTTCTTTGACATTAGCAAGACATAGTTCAACCGTCGAGACATTCTTGCTCTTATTTTACACACAATATCGTTTAGGCCGTTCCTTCTTCTTATTACAATAATCTCGGGACTTATAAAAAAAAAGTGCTCCCTTTTTACTTTCTCGTATATACGAAGTATAGAGAAAGTCTTGTAATCGTGCAAAAAAAAAAATCGAGATTTTTACAAATCTCGACGTTTTACACCTCACTGATACGGAAAAACATAATTTTGCAATCTTGTCCGTATGTCTGTGTGTCTGTCTGTGTGTCTGTCTGTCTGTCCGTGTGTAAACACGATAACTTGAGTACCGTTACAGCTATAAGTATTTTATCAAAAGCGTAGATCCGTATCAACTTTTGAGCGATTTCCGATAACCGAAAGTGGTACTTTTCCTACTTTGAATTTTTCAAAAGCCTATAACTTGAGTACTATTTCAGATAGATAAATGAAATTTCACTTGTAAGTAAAAGATCTAATTCTCTACCTTCTGTTAAATTTTGAGTAATTTCCGTTGACTGGAAGTAGTACTTTACGCTACTTCCGATTTCTCAAAAAAACTAATGTAATTTTTAAAAGTAATAATAATATTGCGCACTATTATGCGCTTTTTTATTTGGCGTTCACTTGGTGTGCAATTAATTTGTCTACGAGATTTTATTCTATTTTTAAAACTTTAAGTATTTAAAATGGATTAAAAATCATGTCTATAGCCCGAGTTCCCATCCCCTGTTATTTTATATAAGAATATTCGAGAAAGTTTAGGGGAGATCACTCCCGGTTTATTTCCTTTTAATTTCTAATTAAAAACAAAATCTTCTATATATTTAACTGTGTTGATGCTATCTACATAGGCGTTGGGCGACACTAACTGTAAATTTATAGAGTAAAATAAAGCGAGCATTAATTGACGCTATTTGGCAAAATCGGAGGGGGAGGGGGGGTGGGTGACACCAACTCTCTCTCTCTCTCTCTATATATATATATATATATACATATATATATATATATATTTATTTATATATATATATATATATATAGCTTACATTTTTGTGGGAGGAGGGGGGGGGGGGTGACACTCGACCTAGCGACGCCACTTGCTAAATAGGCTACTCCTGTAAATATTATAGTGATATGCCAACCAGTTGTGCGATGATTATGGGAAGGTGTGGTTTCTAGAAATGGTATATTATATGATGCTGGTGGTCTATAAGTGTGTTTATTAACTTTATAAGGGGTAGGGGTTTGATTAAAAACGTAAACATGTGTTGCTTATAATATGTACATGATCTGGGAGGATTAGCATTTTATTGTAAGAAAAAAACCAAACGAAAAAGTAATTTTATTTAATTAGACAAGCATCTATCTACTTTTCTTTAAAAAAAAAAATTTTTTTTCTTTAAGATTCTATTTGGGCATGTCATAGTATCTGTCTGTTCACTTGGCGAGGTACCTTTTCGGACCTAAACTCCTAATGGAGCAGAAAAAGAATTAGGAGAATTTTAGATAAAGGGCGATAAGTCATGGTAAATTGTTATGGTTTCTTCAGAGTATGCCCTATGAGTTTACAATGAGGTTAACGGGTAACTCAGCAGAATGAGATATCTCAGTGCAGTGCACCACGAGTTTACCCACAACGTATTCTTTACTTTATTCACTGTTCACCTTGAGATGGGGCGGCTTGGCCTAGCTGCGAGCATTAACCTTTTAACGCGAAAGTCTCGAGTTCGAATCCAGGTTCAAGTCAGTGGAACCTCCCTGAGTCTACTCGGTTCTGATGGGTACCTAACTCATGGCAAAGGTGGCTAGGCATAAAGCTGACCTTGAGATCACCATGAGTAAAAGTTATCTGAGATGCCAGTGGAGTAACATAGAAAAAGCTGTCAAAGCTACAATTTAGTCAATTTGTATTAAGTAAACAGGTTGTGTTTCAGTCTATGTAATATGTGAAGTCCTTTCTTGATACCTCTGAAACTATTAAAACCTCCTATAAATAAAATAAAAGCAACATAAGTCACAGATATATAAAGTATTTATTATATTTCACCACTAAGAAACGAGAGTTAACCCTTACATTTTTAGTAATCAGATTGTTAAACATATTGCTAATTTGTTAATACTGTCTTTCAAAATTAAAGCAAAAAAAAAATAAGGCTTTTAGAAAATAAATAAAAATTGCACTGTTATTTAAAAATGTATGTCGCCTACTTCAAGATTTTACAGAAAACTCAGGTATATGACAAGTTGTTTTTTTTGGAAAACAAATTTTAAAAAAATGTACATCAAGAAGACTCCCGATTTACAAGAAAAAAAAGTATTTTATCTGGTTAAATGCGGGAAAAATTATCACAATAATAAAAAATGAAAGAGTAACATATTAAACAGCAGAGGAAATAAAACATAACAATTACATTATTTTAAATAATGTGCTTTTTTGTTTTAGCAAACAAATGATAAAGAAAAAAATGAATTATATGTATGTAAAGTTCCCAGTGTGAACTTGAAAGTTTATGGGAGGAGTAGATTTAATCTGTTTCTGTGACCTGGGCGTGTGAAGCCAAAGTGTGGACAGCAAATATGCCTTGCCACCTTTACTTCCTCTAACATGACTTAGGTACCCATCAGAGCTGGGTGGACTCAGGGATGTTCTACTGACTTGAACCCCCATTTGAACTCAAAAACTGTCTTGTTAGCAGTCTAGTGCTTTACCGCTAGACTGTCCCAATTATGTGTAGTACGAAGATTATGTGACTAGACAGTATCTTGTAAAATAAAAATTCTTAATTATTTGTTTGGAATAAAAATAAAACTGTCATATTACAATCATGCTACAATTTTGATTAGTTATCTTTGAAAAAAAACTATCTAAAAATTAAAAAAAAAAAAAGCACCAAACACATTTCTCGCACAACATTACAAAGATAACCAGTTTTAAAAATTTAACAATATTTTTACAATCTGTGTTAATGAATGAATTTAAGATGCACCAAAAAAAAAATAAAGAAATTCCATAAGTTAAATGTTGCACAAATTAGCAACGGATCATGTCTAAATAAAAAAAATAAACAGTTATATAAAAAAGCAAAGAGTTTGCAAAAGGTTTATAAATTTTAAAAAGTTCAATCGATGTGAAACACCCCCGTAAAATAATGTTTTTTTTTCTGTTAATAAATTTGGTTACAAATTTTAGTTAGCAGACTGAAATAATAAATGGGTTTAAAAAATACAACCTAGGATAGCAAAGTTCCTATTTAAGGCACTCAAGTATAATACAAAATTTAGAAAACATGTATATAAATTGTAAGCTTAAGTTGCTAACCAGCAACCATTGAGAGAATTTCAAAATGTAAATTAATTAGGGTAAAAGAAAGAGATTACATTAATATCATTACATGTTATACACATGACAAATTAAAGGGTTATTACAATGCACACTGGCCAAACACTGGCCAAAATTATTATCATAATTACTAAAACAAAAACTGAGAAACCTAGAAAAAAATTAATTTAAAGTTTTAATTGAAAAATATTCCAAATTAATCTGGAATAATAATTAAAACAATTACAAACAAGCTTTACATTAAGATTTGTTTGACTTCAAATCATGTTTAAAAAATAAATTTCAATATACCCTTCAGAAGAAATACATTTGTAAATAAAAAGTAAATAGAGATGTCGTAATTTTGAAAATTGTATTCATTAAAAGTCAACAACATTTGAATTAGTGCTAATCAAATTTTACAAAAAAAAATCTATTTGAGAAAGTAAAATATTTTAAAAAACATTGCGCACATTAAATACTCAATTTTATATCATTTTAATTAGCATCTTTTAACTTAAGATTTAAATAACAAGTTGAAGAATTTGAAAAGCTGATAAAATTACTTTTAAAATGTTAAGAAACTTAATTATTTTAGTTTTGGTTAGTTTACATAATTGAGTAAAGATGATTTTAAATAGAGTTCAGATGAAATATATATATAAATTAGATTAGCATGTAAAGTTGCTTTAGAGATATTGGATGTCTTAATTATTTTAACATATGTAGTCTTATTCAGTGTTAACTAAATTTCAGATGCAAATGTTGTTGAGAAGTTCAAAAGTAACTCATTCGCTTTCCCCGAACAGGCAAGTTACACAGCCCACACACACCACACAGCAGCAGGACATAGCCATGATGATGTAGACTGCAGTCGTCACCCAAAAGGCAAATAAGTACAAAGTCTTGTCACAGTAGTGATCCGTTTTTAAAGGGTCGTAGCTCACCTCATCATAATTTCGGTAGATGTACACACATCCTGTAAGTTATTTTACAAAAAAAGATCTAATTATACATTGTAGTAGATTTTATCCATATCAAACATTAACTTAGCTTCACCCTAACAATGGGATGGCGTGGCCTAGCGGTGGAGCCCTAGACTGCTAACCCGATAGTTTCGAGTTTGAATACGGGTTCAAGTTAGTGGAACGTCCCTGAGTCCACCCAGCTACAATGAGTACCTAACTCACGTTAGGGAAAGTAAATGCGACTGGGCTTAGTGCTGACTACATTATCCCTTTATATGCCGAGGTAAAGAAACATATGAACCATTTCATCTGCCCAACGGATAGTTAGGTCTTCTTCTTCTTCGTTCCTAATTTTTAGTGTTGGTAGGAATAGAGCCTTATTTGCCAGAGGGTTTGAACTCAAGCCTTTTACAAATTTATCAACCATGAGTTTTTGCCGACTCAATTACGCCTCCATCACAATTAAGGATACGTGTCAACTGGTTATGCGCCATCATGGTCATTGACTCCGATTTCAGCCTGCTTTTCTTTTTGGATTTGCTTCCATAGCCTTTGTCCAACCAAGAACAAACTACAAGGCAGCAGTTGTTTTGGAGTTGTCTCTCCTAGAAGAGTGGCTGTCCCCAGCTAACGAGCCTCATCTGCCCGAGGGTTTGAACTCGAGTCCCTGAGTCCACCCAGCTAAAATGGATACCTAACTCACGTTAGGGAAACTAAATGCGACTGGGCATAGTGCTGACTGCATTGTCCTTTTATATGCCAAGGTTAAGAAACATGAACAACTACATCTGCCCATTGGACGTTAGGTCTAAAGAGGAATCTTTACTTACACCCTAACAATAGTATATAGAAATATCATCTCATCATCTTTTCCCATTTGTACCCAAGACACATGGGGCAGTTGAAGTAGAGTTTATCTGTTTCAATGACCTTGGCATACAAGAGGATAATGTGGTCAGCACTATGCCCAGCCACCTTTGTTTCCCTAATGTGAGTTAGGTACCCATCAGAGCTGGGTGGACTCAGGGACAATCTACTGATTTGAACCCTGTACTTGAACGCCAGACTTTTGTGTTAGCAGTCTAGTGCTCTACCTCTAGGCAACTTTGTCCCACATATAAAAATATAGAACATTTTTTCTCCCCTATCTAAGCCATTGCTTGCTGATAACTCGACACTTAAATGAGATCAATGCTATCCATCTGGACTCACCTACAATAAACCAAGCAAACAGAAAACAGTTGACAAGTTGTTCCAAGGGGTTGACTTTTTTTCTCTCCTCTTCCATCTCCTCTTTTGATTTACAAAACCTTTGGACTAAGTTAAACAAGTTCTTGACACAACCAAAACTTCCTGCCACAATTAGGTAGATCGGGATCATGCGCTCAAGTGGACAATCATCCTTGTAAAGGGCACCTAAAAGTATTAAAAAAAATGAAAATATGCTTTACAAAACTTTACATTTACATTAAGTGAAAATCACAACTAGATATATTTAAAAAATATTTAAATTTCCATTTAATAAATATTAACTAATTAACATGAGAAGCATATTACGTTATTTCTACTGCATTCTTCTCGAGAAAGAACTAAAAATGTTTAAGAAAATTCTTTTATAATAATTGCTTACCAATAACAATCATAGCAATAGGAACAGCCATTAAAATTCCTAGAATTATTGTGAAGCCAACTATAAAAGAAAAAAAACATCTTAAAATTTGAGCAATATTTTACATTTCAATAAACAGGTCTAAAGTGTTAAAAAAAATATATTTACTAAAATTTTAGAGTAAACTTTTAATAAATATTGGAAAAAACCTACTGGTTGATAAAATAATGATTAAGAATGCTTTTAAGAAAGTTAACACATTGGATGAATCTCGTTTAGCAGCCTTGACCCTTCCATAGAGGGATTCATAAGATGGAGGTGCATCTGTATTAAAAAAAATAAATGTGAATATATCAAACTGATGTTGTGTTGTACAAGCCAACAAAGTTTATTTAATCCTTTGCTGTGAACAATGTTTACTTACTCTATATAGGCAAATAATTCAAAGTGCTTTTAGTTGCATTAGATTTTATAAGGGTATAATCAAACAGATGATTAGAAAATACCTGAATCGTGATATGATGGGAGACCTTCGCCGGCTTTTACATTGTCTCTCTCAGAGTAGGCTGGTGGGTCTTCAGGGTTCGGATTTTGCTAAAATTAGAAAATAGAAATGTAATTGATTGTATCACAACTTTTCTATGCACAAACAAAATAAAAGATGGGAAAATAAATGATAGAGATTTTAGGTTAAAGTAGATCGTTGATATATATGTATATAAATACATAGTCATATCAACATAATGCCTACATATAACTCTGGTAAGATAGATATATATATAGGCATTGTGTTTATATGTTTATATTTAAAATTGTGTGTATATATACTGAGATAAGATAGATAAGTCAGTTGAAAACTGAGCTTGAAACATGAGCTTAAATTATATATATATATATATATATATATATATATATATATATATATATATATATATATATATATATATATATATATATATATAAACAAGCCATGCAGAACAGGTCAGGGGCCAGCCTAAATATTGTGCTCTGGTCTTTTAAGCTAGTTGTGCGCTGAGCTAACAACTTATCCACACACATAAAATAAAGTATAGAAACCATAGCCACATCTGAAATAAACCCAGTCTTAGAAAGAATCATGGCTCCTCATAGGAGAAGTATGACGGACGGCTGCAAAAAACGCAAGGAAGCGACAGACACCCCTTTTTTATTGAAGTAAAGAAAGAAGTGGAGCTGTATGGGGCACAGTATGGCTGAAACCTTAGCTCAGGGTTTGCAGCATGTAGCAATAGAGACATTAGCAGATCTTTGAAGACACAGTATGAATGTGTGATTTTCTTATAACTTGTGGCAAAGAAAAAGGAGAGCGTGTAAAGTAAATTTATCAGAATGAATAAATAAGTTTAAGTAAATAATGTTTTGTAGTACATAGCGTATGAATTTTTCAATAATTTTAAGGGGTTATCAATCCCTGCTGAGTGACAAGGGTGCTTATAACAATAGATCCATTTTAGAAAAAATATATTTGACATTGCACTGTATATTTATTATATTTCATGCAAAGTAATATATCTAGTAGGCCTATATTTGTTTTGAATGAGTATTAATTTTAAATTAGTACCAGGTAACAAAGAACTTATGCTTTGACTTAACACCAATGACAAGAACATGAGTTTGTCTTTTGTATTTAGAATTTGCATTTAATCTACATCACGCTTCTCCAAACTACGGCCCGCGGGCCAGATGCGGCAAGGAAAAATCTTTTGTTGGTGATAGCTGAGGAACTTTGCCCAGAAAAATCGAAGACATGCCTGGAAGAAACTGGCCCCCAAACTGAAATTTGATAGTTAATGCGGCCCTCGGACTGAAAAGTTTGGAGACCCCTGATCTACATTAACACATATTAAATATTAATATTCCAACCTTAGCTTGAATCTATACTAGAGACTTCTAATTTAATTTACAAGTAACTAACTGCATGGTTAATTTGTAAAGCATCAAACTGCCAACCTAAAAGTCTTGTAGCATGTCCCTGAGTCCACCCTACTCTGATGAGTACCTGACTTACATTAGGGAAAGTAAAGGTGGCTGACAACACTATCACACTAGTATCTCTTCATATGCCGAGGACACAGAAACATGTGAAATCTACTTCATCTGCCCAGTGGGCCAGCAGGTTTCAAAGGGAACTTTACTATACTTTGCAATGTTAATTGAAACAAAACTGTTTTTAAAGTAGTTTTTTTTTAAGTGAGAGCTAAGAAACAAAATATTATTATATAGATTATAGATCTAGATCTAATACAAGTGATATCATTGCTTTAAAACATTTTGATGTTGAAATGATGTGTTAGTTCTTATAGTATTATTATAAAGTAATAAATATTAAATACTATAGATAAGCCTACAACTACTACTGTATTATAGGGCTATAAGCCTAAAATTATAATTATTGTTATATTAAATATTGTGAGGCATTATGATGAGGTAGTAGTATTATTATTTATTTATTATTTAACAAATTTATGTCTATGTTGAAAGGCTTTATCTAATTCTGTTCGGACCCGGGTCCCAGTAGCCACGGACGCTATTAGGACCCGGGTCCTTATACGCCCTATAATCTAGTGGCTATAGCCTTGGCCGCTATTCGGATCAATCAATAAAAATAAAATTATAAAGATTTAGTTAAACAATAATTCCTTTAAGATGCATAATGTATCTTTTCTGTTGTTGTGATTTTTTTCTTGTAATTCTAAACGAATATAGATCTATATTCTATATGCTACCCTAAGTTTGGGTTTGGGACTAAGTCAGTGCGTAGGCCTTCACTAATTCAAGACATGAGCTTAAGAAAATAAAATAATCTCACAGGTTGAGCTTGAGCCTGAGCTGCTTCATTTCTTGGATCAAAAGTATCCATTTTACAATGTGCTGGTCACAATGAATCAGAAGATTGAAAACTTTGTGTAACCCTAACTAAACTCCTAAACTTACTACTGACTAGTCTCTACTAATAATTACTAATTAATAGTCTTCTAAAATCTAGAACTAGACTACTAAACTAAGGTAGATCTAGTTTAGGTTATGTTGTAGTTGTTAATCTTGTTATACTGGTGTAAGTACTTAGATCTAGAATCTAGAGGTAGTCAGTTGAGTGTGTGTAATCGTACTCAAAGCCGTACTGCTACTCCTGTTACAGTGAGTGTTAAAAATACTGTAACACTGCAACGCCAACGGGCCTGCAACGGGTAACGTAGCCAAACTAAAAATACTAAGTTTATAAATCCACGCCAAGCTTTTGGCTTATATTAATATATTTTATGATTTGTCAACCTATAGACCTAGCTTCAACCTATCTCAATCTAGACTCTATAGTCTATAGTATAGGTCTAGTATAGCCTATTTTCTTTTTTTTTTTTTAAATCTAGAATTTAGAATCAATGATTTTCTAAGGATAAACACCATCGGGAAAATCCGAAATTATTATTTTTTCCCCAGACAAAGATGGAGAACCAGTGACCGAGTGACGTTTATATAGCTTAAGTATGGTGAAATTTACCCCACTCCCGCTTATTCGCTATCCGCGTAAAAGAAAGAAAACAGTAGGGCATAAAATGACTTAAGTTACTAGATTAACAAAAGTGTTGTATCTTTACACGAGAATTCTACATTCAAGGCCTACGTCTTGATCTACATCTATATGTAGATCTAATTAATTATAAAATAAAAAAGCGAAAAAAAATCTGTGTCGCGAAACAAAAAGATTGAGATTAGTGATTAGGCCTAGGCCTCTACCTACTACCTCTACACTGATTACATACACACTTACACGACTTAACTAACTACGTTAAGGGTCAGATACCCGTAGATTTATTTTATTTGAACATTTTAGATTCTGCCCCTATATTAAAGATAAAGCTTTGATTAAATAATGACAATACTATAATATTAAAATGAACACAAATGTAAAACTAAAAAAAAAAACACAAGGTACAAACATAAGAATGATCGTTAGACGCCATCTTGAAATACTTTTGTCAACTCTGAGTTTAGTTTAGAACATTACACTTATATTCCCAATAAACACTTCGGCTGCAGGTAGCAACAGTGGTAGATCCTATTTGCAACCACCCATTTCCGTTGTCATCATTGCGATTATTTAAAAAAAAACAGGGAGAAAATTGGAGTAAACAACAACAACAACAGCAAAAACACAGATTAGAATATCTAGATATAGAATTTAGATTAGTCTAGATCTAGTAAGTCAAATTTGGGTAAAAGAAAACCCCACAAGTTTCAAAACTGAAACAATAACTATGGTCTTTTGTGTTTTATAGAATCTATTTGATGAGAGTTGTATTTACTATTTTATTTCTATTTTAGATCAGTGTTTTTTTTGGGGTGGGGGGGCGGTAGACTCTCTTCGGGGGGGGGGGCTTCTTCCCCCCAAAGAGTTGCCTGGAAGAAACTCTGCTCCTCTAGAGCTAATTCCTTCACCTAAAGTAAAGGTGACTGTCAACTCAGCTCCCGTAAAAAAGGCTACCATCAACACAACTCGACATCAATGCGTCCGCAAGTTAGGCTCTCCCTACTAAATAACTCCCGAATAATATGACATGTATGCACTTAAAATTCATGGAATAAATTTTTCTATTTCGTCTGGACTCGATGGGATGCCAGAAAGAAACTCTGGGTTTAACATTAGTTGCAAGAGTTGCCATAAAACTATCTCTGCAAAGCACTTCTACAACTATTATCATTAATAGTTTAAAATTCTCACACAACAATTCTACAGTGGTGTAGCTAGCGGAGGGCGGGTGTGGCGGCCGACCAGGGCGCCGACCCTGAGGGGGCGCCAAATGGGGTTGAAAAAAATTAAGAGTTCTGTTTAAGCTGAAGTATTGAATTATATACAGTCAAAGATACGAAAATCGACGACTACAAGGCCTTACAGTGCCTTACACACTGATTTAACTGTTTTCCATATCAATTTCGTGGCACCGAAATAGAAAATCTTACTGTATAGTAACTAGTAAGAAACGCAACAAACTTTTCCAACTGGTTGGGGGGGGGGGGGGGGGGGGAGGGGGGCAGTGTTTCTTCCAGACTTTTTTCTCCGGGGGGCACTTGAAATTTTCGGGGGGCGGTAAACTTTCTTCGGGGGGGGGGGGCGGGGCGGACACTGATAAAAGTATATATTTTCTATATAAATTATATAAATTTCATTCCGTTCGGGGGGGGGGGGGGGGCGAAGAGATGCATGGAAGAAACTCTGGGGGGGGGGGGGGGGCTTTTTCACAGAAAGAAATAACTATAAATAGAAATGGGAGGGAGGGGGCGTAAAATTCATACTCCACCCCGGGCGCCGGAATAGGTGGCTACGCCTCTGCAATTCTACTAAAGCACGGTAAAGTAAAATAAAAATAATAAATTTGGAAAGGTTTTTTTTTTTAAATTTTAACATTTATTTTACGTTAGGGTCTGCACATTTGATAAAATTTTAGAACCTTCCTGTGAGCAGAATTAAATGTCTCGTGACTTGCTATTATTAAAAAAGGGGAATTCCCTAATCCTGCTTTATTATGGAGAAAGCGTTGTTTTTTTTTTTGTGATGGGCTCTTTAAATAGCATCGAGATTTCCTTTCTTTGTACACTCTGCTATACAGCCGAATAATATTTATGGGAGTGTATAGTGTTGAATATTTAAGTGCCACTCATAAATCGCATCCTATTTCAAAGCTTCATTCAACCATGTAAAGACAGCTTAAACGCCAAAGAGTAATGAAAAGATACTGGTGGAAATTACCGGCTGTAAAAGGTGTGAGGAGACCAGCTAAAACTCTAATCAATGGGGACCGGGTGTGTGTGATCGGGTGGGGGGGGGGGGGGTGTGGGGGGGGGTGTGGGGGGGGGGGGGGGTGGAGGTAGTTTTTATGTTTGAAATAATGTGCGAAATTTTTTAGAGAGGAGGTGGAGGTGTTGGGTGGGGGGGGGGGGGGCTGTTGAGAAATATGGCCACACTTTTTCATTAAAAAAACAAACAAAAAAAAAAAAAAAACAACAGTTGAATTTCAGAAGTTTTTTGCGTATTTTAAAGACTACTTTGTAAACGGGAATAAAGATTGAAAACTATACCGAATTTTTAAACTAGATCCGTGACCCACGTTTGAAAGAAATTAATTTTTCATAGAAAAAAAAAAAAGCTTGGGATGTGAGGGTGCGAGAAAAGTGTGCCATTTTTCGGCGGTGGGACTTACTGAGACAATGTGTGTCAACAGGGGAGGTGGGGGGGGGGGGGAGGGGGGGGGAAGTGGGTAGAATCGACACACAAATCCTGACTCCTGACATCTTGTTTGACATCGATTCGTTATCGTTTGACCTGGGCTGAAGTTTGTTGGAAGGGGTAGTGTAGATGAAAGTTTGCATGCTTTTTCGTTGATATTGTATATATATATATATATATATATGTGACGAGCGAACATTTATCCTGCCGACAACGCCAATTGTAACGAGCCAACAGTTACCATGCTCGCAACGTCACATGTAATGAGACCTAATTGCCTGTAGTGCCACGTGTTAACGAGTTTAACCACTCATTCTAGACAACATTGACCACAGTATAGATACTCAAGATGCAGGTTCGCTATTGATCCTTTATTACATGAATCAAGAAATGCTTCATAATAACACAATAAATCAACAGGAATGCTTCTCAATAATAGTCTGAATCAACTGACCCCTAACAGTCCTTCACTAGGCTTTATATAACTGAATCCACATGTCTATAATCCTCCATAACACAATACGGCTAACCCGTTCTATAACCGACTTGACATAGTCACACAGACTGACTGATCTAAGCGAGCGATGAAGATGGAAGAGAGCTCGCTGAAACGGGAAGAGAGAGAGAGGGACGAGTTCTGCCGTCCCCTCCTATTTATGCCTTGTATCCGTACTCGTCTCCGTACTTGTCCTCCTCCGTAATCGATACTTGTACTCGATCTCCGACCACCAGTTGCGTAGTTCAAACGTACCGTCCGTAAAATAACATCTGCATCCTATCCATCAAAGTTGACAGGCCGTCTGAATACCGTTTCCCAAAATAGCACGCGTTGGCTTTGAGGTTGTTATCAGACCGATCCAATAAGCCACCTGTTATCGGTTGCATCAGACCAACACTGTGTCTCGGGTTCTCGTTCGTTATCATTTGTAACTGGTAGTTAGGCCTACCCCAGTTACATCCACCCCTGCTTTTTTTGTGTGTTTTCAACCACAAACAACGCCTGGCAGGTGCACTCCTCCAAAGTCAATCGCACAGTCGTAAAAAAAAATCTATTGTTCCACTCACTGTCCACGACGTTCCATTCGTATACGATTGACAGTTCTACCTATTTCACATATCAACTGTGTCTACATCATCTTTCTGAGACACAAAACAGTTCTAGAATTCACATCCACCCTTTCCATTTGGTGCCTTCACCAGTTCACTTCTATAGCTCTTTGAACAGTCTGTTTTCATACCAGCGCGACCATGAAAGAATTGATGGTTGCTGACAAAAAATTTCGTATTCCTTCTGTTCCTTAAACTTCTCCGCGGACCACTTATCTGATGGTCTACTGTCTCTCTGCTTCTGGAGGGACCGGGATCCTCATTGTTGCCGGTATCCTCCCCTTGCGTATCGCTGTTGTTCTGTTGATGGTGATATGGTTCCGGAATGGGTATGTGAATTTCCGTTATAACTTCCGGTTCCCTAATTGTCTTGGGTTTCTGTGTGTGTAACTGCTCTTCTTGCCTATTCCAATATTTCTTTAATTGAGCAATATTCGCCCACCGATCCGGTTTGGCGTGATCGATGGGTCTTATCTTAAAGGGGCCACCTGCTGCTTTAGGCATCTCCACGACTTGCCATATCTCCTGTCCCCAGAGATCGTGGATTTTGTTTCTGCCTAACGGGTGGCTACGCAGTAATACCCTGTCATTCAGTTTGAGTGGCGGGTCCTTCG